ATAGAATTGAATTAGAATAGAATTGAATTAGAATTGAATTGAATTGAATTAAAATAGAATAGAATTAAAATAGAAAAGAATAGAATTAAAATAGAATTGAATTGAATTAAAATAGAATAGAATTAAAATAGAATAGAATAGAATTGAACTGAATTAGAATAGAATAGAATTAAATTAGAATAGAATTAGAATAGAATTGAATTGAATTGAATTAGAATAGAATTGAATTAGAATTGAATTAGAATAGAATTGAATTGAATTAAAATAGAATAGAATTAAAATAGAAAAGAATAGAATTAAAATAGAATAGAATTGAATTGAATTAGAATAGAATAGAATTAGAATAGAATAGAATTAAAATAGAATAGAATAGAATAGAATTGAATTAGAATATAATTGAATTAGAATAGAATTGAATTAGAATAGAATTGAATTGAATTAAAATAGAATAGAATTAAAATAGAATAGAATTGAATTAGAATAGAATAGAATTAGAATAGAATAGAATAGAATTGAATTGAATTAGAATAGAATAGAATTAAATTAGAATAGGATTAGAATAGAATTGAATTGAATTGAATTGAATTAGAATAGAATTAGAATAGAATTGAATTGAATTAAAATAGAATAGAATTAAAATAGAAAAGAATAGAATTAAAATAGAATTGAATTGAATTAGAATAGAATAGAATTAAAATAGAATAGAATTGAATTAGAATAGAATAGAATTAGAATAGAATAGAATAGAATAGAATTGAATTGAATTAGAATAGAATAGAATTAGAATAGAATAGAATTAAAATAGAATAGAATAGAATTGAATTGAATTAGAATAGAATTGAATTAGAATTGAATTGAATTGAATTAGAATAGAATTGAATTGAAATAGAATAGAATAGAATTAGAATAGAATAGAATAGAATAGAATTGAATTAGAATTGAATTAGAATAGAATTAGAATAGAATTGAATTAGAATAGAGTAGAATTAGAATAGAATTAGAATAGAATTGAATTGAATTAGAATAGAATTGAATTAGAATAGAATAGAATTGAATTAGAATAGAATAGAATTAGAATAGAATAGAATTGAATTAGAATAGAATTGAATTAGAATAGAATTGAATTAGAATAGAATAGAATTGAATTAAAATAGAATAGAATTAAAATAGAAAGGAATAGAATTAAAATAGAATAGAATAGAATTGAACTGAATTAGAATAGAATTAAATTAGAATAGAATTAGAATAGAATTGAATTGAATTAGAATAGAATTGAATTAGAATTGAATTAGAATAGAATTGAATTAAAATAGAATAGAATTAAAATAGAAAAGAATAGAATTAAAATAGAATTGAATTGAATTAGAATAGAATAGAATTAAAATAGAATAGAATTGAATTGAATTAGAATAGAATAGAATTAGAATAGAATAGAATAGAATAGAATTAAAATAGAATAGAATAGAATTGAATTAGAATAGAATTGAATTAGAATAGAATTGAATTGAATTAGAATAGAATTGAATTGAATTAGAATTGAATTGAAATAGAATAGAATTGAATTAAAATAGAATAGAATTAAAATTGAATAGAATTAAAATAGAAGAGAATTGAATTGAATTAGAATAGAATAGAATTAGAATAGAATAGAATTAAAATAGAATAGAATAGAATTGAATTGAATTAGAATAGAATTGAATTAGAATAGAATTAGAATAGAATTGAATTGAATTGAATTAGAATAGAATTGAATTAGAATTGAATTAGAATAGAATTGAATTAAAATAGAATAGAATTAAAATAGAAAAGAATAGAATTAAAATAGAATTGAATTGAATTAGAATAGAATAGAATTAAAATGGAATAGAATTGAATTGAATTAGAATAGAATAGAATTAGAATAGAATAGAATAGAATTAAAATAGAATAGAATAGAATTGAATTAGAATAGAATTGAATTAGAATAGAATTGAATTGAATTAGAATAGAATTGAATTGAATTAGAATTGAATTGAAATAGAATAGAATTGAATTAAAATAGAATAGAATTAAAATTGAATAGAATTAAAATAGAATAGAACTGAATTGAATTAGAATAGAATAGAATTAAAATAGAATAGAATTAAAATAGAATAGAATAGAATTAGAATAGAATAGAATTAAAATAGAATAGAATTGAATAGAATTGAATTAGAATAGAATTGAATTAGAATAGAATTGAATTAGAATAGAATAGAATAGAATAGAATAGAATTGAATTGAATTAGAATAGAATTGAATTAGAATAGGATAGAATTAAAATAGAATAGAATTGAATTGAATTAGAATAGAATTAGAATAGAATAGAATTAAAATATTCTATTCTATTTTAATTCTATTCTATTCTATTTTAATTCTATTCTATTCTTTCAATTCTATTCTAATTCTATTCTATTCTATTCTATTCTAATTCTCTTCTCTTCTCTTCTTCTTCAAGCTAAGAATCCAGGCATGAATTGGCACCTTTAAACTACAAGGCCATGCCAAGACTTTGGGTGGGAAAGCTATTTTGCTCCTGCTGAGCTCTGTTGTAGGGAATAGAAGCAGAAGATACTAACTCTGTCAGTTCTGAGAAGAAATTGTCCTTAAAGTGATATAATTAGACTCACTCATGGCTCCCACGAAAAACGTATTGAAGCTGGGCCGCGTTCTAAAATTACCTTTGGCTTTCTTCATATAAAACCAAGGAGTTGTCCCCCAGGGTTTTATTCCACCTGCCAAAAAAGTTCACACATTTTGTCCAGGAATAGAAATGGCTTTTTGTTACAACAGCTGGCATTTATATTTTCAATCATGGATGAGGAGAAGGGCGTTAACTTTTCTCTGGAGTTTTTCATCCCAGGAACTGCTGTCACCCAACAGAGTGAAGCTTTTTGAGTTCAAAAGCTACCTGTTGCTTCTCCAACTTTTTTTTTTTAAAAAAAAACTTCTGCTCTTAAATTCTCTATTTCTCCTCTGGAAGCCCACAGACTGAAATATTGATTCTGATTTTTCGCCTGCTCCAATTTTTGAAAAGCATTTCCTGGACAATCCAGTTGGGCTCCCACAAATTGCAACCCCTTGATTTGTTATTTTAATGGAACATCTAAATTTGATTCTTGAAGTCATTGAGAGGAAGAACGTCTACAGGATTTGGGTATGGCCAGTCTAGAGAAAAGAAGGACTGGGGGGGGACGGACAGGATACCACTATTCCAGTATCTGAGGGGCTGCCACAAAGAGGAGGGGGCCAATTTATTCTCCAAAGCACCAGAGGTCAGGACAAGAAACAATGGATGGAAACTAATCAAGGAGAGAAGCAACCTGGGATTAAGGAGAAACTTCCTGACAGGGAGAACAGTTAACCAGTGGAACAGCTTGCCACCAGAAGTGGTGAATGCTCCAACACTGGAGGTTTTTATGAAGAGACTGGACAGCCACTTGTCTGAAGTGGCCTAGGGCCTCCTGCTTGAGCAGGGGGTTGGACTAGATGACCTCCGAGGTCCCTTACAGCTCTATTCAGATTGATTGAATTAGCTTTCCGGGCCTTGAAGTCTAGGGAGAATGGCTTTGTCTTTGAAGTTTTGCTCGGATCATTCTAGAAGTTCTGAACGTCACAACTCGGCCTATGCAAATGTATTTAAATGCAGATGACTGTACCAAACGACAAGAGGATGAAGCATGAAGCTTTCTCTAATGGCTTGACAGGTCTCTTCCCGGGCCCTCCCCCCCCCCAAGACTCACTGCTCCTATCCCTGGGGTGACTCACACAATACATTTCATTTTCTCCTGCGCACAAAGTAATTAGGTCAGCAGATTGCATGACCTCATTGTTCAGTGCAAAAGTTTTCTCCTTCAACAAACTGCAGAGGCTGGAGGAATCCAGCTGGGGGGGGGGAAGTGGATTTTTCTATACAGTTGGTCCTGGTTATGACCAGGTGGTCGAGGCAAGGCAGGCTGCTAGAGACCCCTTTATTGCCCCCAATAAATCTTCCAACTAATGGCCCTGCGATAATGCTCTATTCTGATTGGTGGGTTGGTTGAAAGGATCTAGTAGGGTCTCTTGCTCAAGCGGGGTTAGACTAGAAGACCTCCAAGGTCTCTTCCAGCTCTGTTCTCATTGATTGATTGATTGAAATGGCATAGGATCTCCTGCTTGAGCAGGGGGTTGGACTAGAGGACCTCCAAGGTCCCTTCCATTGATTGATTGATTGAAATAATCCAAGGTCTCCTGCCTGAGCAGGGGGTTGGACTAGAGGACCTCCAAGGTCCCTTCCATTGATTGATTGATTGAAATAATCTAAGGTCTCCTGCCCGAGCAGGGGGTTGGACTAGAGGACCTCCAAGGTCCCTTCCATTGATTGATTGATTGAAATAATCCAAGGTCTCCTGCCCGAGCAGGGGGTTGGACTAGAGGACCTCCAAGGTCCCTTCCATTGATCGATTGAAATAATCCAAGGTCTCCTGCCTGAGCAGGGGGTTGGACTAGAGGACCTCCAAGGTCCCTTCCATTGATCGATTGAAATAATCCAAGGTCTCCTGCCTGAGCAGGGGGTTGGACTAGAGGACCTCCAAGGTCCCTCCAAGCTCTAAACCAAGTCGAGGACTACCTGTATAACTTGCGCTGGGCTTCCCCACCCCGCCGGCAGGTGGGCTCCGGCGCAGGTGCCCAAAGCGCTTTTGGCCGGGAAGGCGCAAACGACCTCGGGGCTTCCTAGCAGCGGGCGCAGCGGGCGCGCAATGGCGCGGGGGCCGGGCGGTGCAGCTGCCTCGCCCGACCACCCCCCTCCCAGCCCCCTTCTGCCCAGCGGGGACCCTCGGAGCCCGTCCCGGCCTCGCCAGGGCAGAAAGGTACCTGCGCGCACCTGGGCGGCCGGCGGCGCGCAAGAGGCGCGCAAGAGGGAGGAGCCCTGCGGCGCAGCAGGAGGAGGAGGAAGAGGAGGAGGAGGAGTCTGACGGGGCTGCTCCCTCCCTCCCCCTCTCTCCCTCCCCTGCGACCCCCCCCTTCCCGGTCCGCGTCCCCGGACTCTCCACCTGGCCCGCAGCATCTCCGGCCCGGGTTTTGCAGGGCTCGGCCCGGCTTGGAGGCTTTGCGCGGCCGGGGTTGGGGAGGGGGCGCAAGAAGCCCATCTCCGGAGCTGCTGCTGCTGGCCCCTGGGGAGCCGGGAGAGGGCGACCCTGCGCCCGGGAGCCGCCTTGCCAGGTAAGGCTGCGGGGGTCCCCGGCCCCCCTGCGCTGACCCGCAGAGAGGGGGTCCGGGGATGCCCTTCTCTTCCCCGCTGCGTCCCCAAAGACCCCTTTCGTTTCGGGCAGAAAAAGAAACAGTGCAGCCCCCTGAGACCCTCAGGTCCCCCCCCAGGCCCCTTGCAATGCCTCTTCTTCTCAAGCAGCACCCCCCCCCCCAGCCCTCTTGGCAAAAGTCCCGACCTATTTGGGTAGAGGAATACTGATAAATTCCCCCCCCCCCAAAAAAAAGACCAGTGGTGACACTGGCAGTTTTCCTCCCTTCTTCTCGGGGTGTGTGTGTGTGTGGGGGGTCTTTCTTGCTGCCCCCATCATCGCTTCCCCTGTCAGGATGAATAGGGTCTCCCTTCCCCTGGTCTCAGTGGGCAGGGTGTCGCCCCCATCTTGCCTCTCCCCCCACCTTTCTGGGAGGAAATGCTGCAAGACAGGGATAGGAGATGCAGTGAAGCCCAAGGAAATCTTCAAAGCCTGGAGGAGAAGGAAGGAAGGAAGGAAGGAAGGAAGGAAGGAAGGAAGGAAGGAAGGAAGGAAGGAAGGAAGGAAGGAAGGAAGGAAGGAGAAGAAGAAGAGGAGGAGGAAAGAAGGAAGGAAGAAGAGGAGGAGAAGGAAGGAAGGAAGGAAGAAAGGAAGGAAGGAAGGAAGGAAGGAAGGAAGGAAGGAAGGAAGGAGAAGAAGAAGAGGAGGAGGAAAGAAGGAAGGAAGAAGAGGAGGAGAAGGAAGGAAGGAAGGGGAGGAGGAAGAGGAGGAGGAGGAGGAGGAAAGAAGATGGGGAGGGGTCACGAAGGTGGCAGTCCCTTCGCCTCGCTTGATCTGTGTGGGGCTGACACCCCACCCCCAAGTCAGTTCCTCTGATCCTGTCCTAGTCTGACAAAAGCCACCCAAAGGACATTTGAGCAAGATGAGGGTGGACAAGCTGGATTTTCCCAAATTCAACCCATCAACCCATCAGAGCTGCTTCTTCTCCTGCCTTCTGGAGCTTTGGAGACGAGGTGGACCCCCTCCTCTTCTTTGGGGCAGCCCCTCAAATGCTGGAAGGACACCCCTGCTCCTTCTTTCCTACTTGACCAGCCCTACCCAAATCCTGCATGTTTGAGGCTTTGTATGTTCTTCCTATGTTTTAGTCTCCGGGCCTTGAATCCTTCTGTGCATGGCGGGGAGGAATAAGGCAGTAAAAGCCCCCGCTCGTCCAGCTTTTATTTATTTCATATAGAAAAGACAAAGAAGATTAGAAATAAAAAAAATTAGGGGGAGGAAAAAAGAGAGGGGAGGAAAGAAAATGTGAAATACAAGGAGGAAAAGAAGAAAGAGAAAGCGTAGTTTTAAAGGCTCTTCCAGTTTTTTATCTATTTCATATAGAAAAGGCAAAGAAGAATAGAAATAAAAAGGAGGGGAGGAAAAAAGAGAGGGAAAAAAAAAAGAAAATGTGAAATACATGGGGGGGGGGAGAAAAAGTGCCCTTTTAAAGGCTCTTGAACATCATGCCAGCGTCTTAACAATCTGATCTCTCTTCTTCCAGATTCTCTTTGGAGAATTGTGACCCTAGGAAAATAACGCAATGACCGAAATTCACATTGACAGTTCCTGCCTGCCCCGAGTCCAGGAAGGTAGGATATGAAAGGAATTGAAGGTTCAAAGTCTTCCTCCCAATTTATTTATTTTTTAACTACACATAATCCCCGATTTACAACTACCCATTTGCAAAAGCAAGGCTTTGACACCTAGGTGGGGAAAAAAACCCCAAAGGTATAAGTCCAGATTAGGGGAAACCTGGCTGAAGAACAGTCACCGTGAGAGGGATCTAGGATTCCCAATGGACGATCCCTTACACGTGAGCCCTAACACCATCCTGGGTTGTGTAAACAGAGGGATAGAATCAAAATCATGTTTTTGATTTTGGAGCTTTGATGCTTCTCCTCCGCGCATCTTCTTGGGGATAAAGAATTTGTGGATGGGTAAGAAGGTGAAACTAGAAATCCCGCAGCTCACAGATTCTTCCTGAAAGGGTCAGGGAGGCGGATGACGCTTGTTTTTATAACTTTAAATCTGTTTTTCCTTTCCATTCAAATGGGAAAAAAAAAACACGCAACGCCCTTTCCTTTAAAGCCCGGCTGTGCTACACACTGCCTGAAAAAGTCAACAAACAATGAAACCCCCTTTGCAGTTTTTCTGTGTTTCTTTTTTCCTGCAGTGTGCCGAGATTTCGCCGTCCTGGAAGACAGTGCGTTGGCCTACTGTCTGCAAGAACAAGAGAGTAAGGACGGGGAATTTGTGTGTGTGTGTGTGTGTGTTTGCGGTTCTCTGAAGTTGTAAGTGGGGTCTGCGACAACTTGCCGCAGCCAACTCGCCGTGGGGCAAGAATTTACGCTAATATCAAAGAAACAGTGGAATAGAAGGAAGGACAATGTGACAGGTGAAGGACAAAAATAAAAATAATTTTTTAACTACAGAGTTCTCGAGTTATGACCAGTTGAGCCCAAAATATTTGTCACTAAGAGAGACGGTTGTTAAGGGAAGTTTGCCCCATTTTGTGAGGTTCTTAAGTGAATCCCGGCGGTTGTTAAAGTCAGCAACACAGTTGCGAAGTGGCTTCCCTGTTGACTTGGCTGGTCAAAATGTCGCAAAAAGCGTCATAAATACAAGCCAAGTCTGAATTTTGATCCCATGACCGTGAGGATACTACAGTGGTCTTTTTTTTTTTTTCAGTGCCTTGGTAAACTTCCAACAGTCACTAACTCAACCGTGATAAGTCGAGGACTGCCTGTATTTCAAACAATTAAATTCCATTGTTCAATTGTCCCGCAGTGACAATTTTGTGTGTGTGTGTGTGTGTCCCTCCGGTGTTTAGCGTCCCCTGCCTCCATGTCTTTTGTGCCCGTCTGGGCTGCATAAATGAGCAACAGATAAACGGTTTTCTGGAAGCGGTGTGTGTGTGTGTGTGTGTGTGTGTGTGTGTGTGTGTGTGTGTTGGAGGGAGGTGTTGGTCTCTGGCACCGTCCCCGTTTTCCATTACTGAGATGGAGTCGACGGCTTCAGGGAATCCGGCGTGCCAACAGGTTTACAAGGCCCAGATGAGGTGGCATTTTGAGCCCTCAAGGTTGGCAGCCAGCGGCGAGAGTTGTCCTTCCTCGTCGCCCGGAGAGCAACGATGGCACCCACCGCCGTCGTGGATCATGCTCGTGAATCATCCTGTGACGTCAAAGGCCTTTCAATGACAGCATGCAAAGCTGTCCAAGTTCTGAGTCTCCCCGACTGTCTGGCTGGGGATTGATGGCTGGCAAGTTCAGGGCAAGGAGGACGCTTGGCTGAGCTTCAGCTTCTTGGCTGAGACAGGGATGGAGCAGGTCTTGGTCAAGGTCTTCGCTTCCTCGGGGTTCCTCCCCCCCCCTTTTGAACCAGGAGTCTGGAGACCCCTGGATCTCAAGGGCTTCAGTCCGTCTGATCCCCTCTGAGGGGGACCAGCAGGACTTGGCTCTCCAGAAAAGCCACCGCAAAGACGAGGGACAGGGGCTGACTTTTCTCCAGGACTTCTCCTGAGGCTTTCTTCTCTTCCTTCAGTCGAGCTGCATTATGCGTCCAACATCCAGAAGAACCAGCTGGTCCAGAATGACCTCCGAATGGCCAAGAGGCTTCAAGACCAAGAGGTGGAAGCCCAGAAGCTTCAGGACAGCAGGCAACTGAAAGACAGGTAGGCATTCTCTTGGGTTCCAGGATGGTGTGCTTGTGTACGTGTGTGTGTGAGTAGACCCAAGTGAAGAAATTGGACAGCCAAATGGTCTAGCGTCTCCTGCTTGAGCAGGGGGTTGGACTAGGTCCCTGTCCAGCTCTATTCTGATTGATTGATTGACTGAAATGATCTAGCATCTCCTGTTTGATCAGAGGGTTGGACTAGAAGACCTCCAAGGTCCCTTCCAACTCTACTATTCAACAAAGCCAGAATTGCTCTTCTAACTGTCTCTTCCTCTGTCGATGTGCAGCCAAGAGGGAGATCCCGAAAATTCCCGGGCCGTCCAGAAAGATCTTCAAAGGAAATCGGGAAAAGATGATCCAAAGAAGAAGGCGGAAGATCAGGTAGGAGAGTCCCGGATGCCAGCTAGAAATTGCCGGGGCTTTCAAACTTGGCCACCTGGAGGTTCACCCGCGTCCTGGGGGTCACCTGAGCAGTGCAAAAAGGGGCAAAGCCTTCTTAGTTGCAGGAGTCAGGCTCTCCTATGCTCCCTGCTGCTCCTTCTGGGCCGATCCAAACACGCTCTTCCCGATCCGGCTTATTGAGTTGGGTTCCGGACGAGTGAGGGGCGAAATGCGAGAATGACATGACTTCATGTTGTTTCTCCTCGTCCAAGATTTGGTCACTCGGAACAAGGGTGGGGAGCAAAGGCAGGCAGCTGCCCCCTCGGGAGCCATTCTGGCGCACACCGACAGGAGCGCCGGAGAGAGAAAATACACCGGGAACAATCGCCGGCATTCATCCGTCTCTCCCAGGGACCCCTCCCAGCCTGAGTATCTCCCCCCACGAGCAGAGAAAATGTGGCATTATCCTTGAATATTCGGCCGGCGTCCGAATCGAATCCCGAATCCTGAGGTCCCAGCTGGCAGGCCCTGAAGAAGCGAGACCTGAAGATGTAGCTTGCACGTTCCTCTGAGCTTGCTTACACATAGTCCTCTACTTATGACTGCCATTGTTGCGCTGAGGTCTCGCCTTCTTCTGGCCCTGCTGCCCCCAACCCAGGTATCTCCCATAGCTTACACCCTGTGCCGTGCCAAGTTCCTTCCTCTTAGGATCAAGCTTTACACCGTCCCGTGGGTTTGTTCCTTTTTTTCACTTGCAACTAAGAATCGCTGGCATCGCGGCTCCTTCTCAGATAAATATGGGCCACAATAATTCTAATTCTAACTCTAACTCTCATTCTCATTCTAATAATTCTCATTCTCCATTGGGCTTCCCCTGGGAGGAGTAGCAGAAGGAAGAGAGCTGGGCTCCAGCGGTCACGAGGATGCCGCCTCACGAGGTGTTTTTCTCTCCCACCCAGGAGAAAGTCAAGCGGTTCCACAACCGGGAGAAGGACGAGAGTGGTCAGCCAAAGCCGAGACCTTCCCGTGGGACAAGAGGTAAGGATGGCCTAGGTGCAGAGAGGACACTTGTCCATTCTGAAAGCCAGTGTGTTGTAGTTGTGCTGGACAGCACATCCATCATGCCCATGTGTGGGACGTAACACATCTGGAAGTCAGGTGGGACAATTAACCGGCAGAACAGAAGCTGCCTCCAGAAATTGTGGTTGTTCCATCAGTGGAGGTTTGTAAGAAGAGACTGGGCAGCCGTTTGTCTGAAATGGTCCACGATCTCCTGCTTGAGCAGGGGGCTGGACTAGAAGACCTCCAAGGTCCCGTCCATCTCTATTCTTCTCTAATTTTCTTCATTCACCTTTTGCAGATGGTACCCCTGAACCCCTGCACTGGGAGATGGCCAGACTGGAACTCCAGATCCAGCAGCAGTTCCAGGAAGATGAGGAACTGGCCCAGAAGCTGCAGGAGGAGGAAGAGCAGGAGCAGACGCGCATCGTGAGTGTCCGCCTCTACCCCATCAGGGAGCGATGCCAGGGCAAGCAGGGAGCACCTTCCCACCCCTTAGACATTCAGAAATCTTCTTAAAATCAGGACCATCTCCTGCCAAGAGGAGCAGGAAAAGGAAGGAGAGAAAGGGGTGGCCCTGGGCCCCAGAACTCTCTTGGGGAGACCCTGTTCTGCTGCTTGATGGGTCTTTTGCAGAGTTGACCATGGCAAGCTGGCCAAGTTGATGTTGGCCATGGTGAGTTGGCTATGATGAGTTGGCTATGAGTTGGCCATGGTGAGTTGGCCATGGTGAGTTGGCCATGGTGAGTTGGTCAAGGTGAGTTGGCCATGGCAAGTTGATGTTGGCCATGGTGAGTTGGCCATGAGTTGGCCATGATGAGTTGGCCATGGTGAGTTGATCATGAGTTGGCCATGGTGAGTTGGCCATGAGTTGGCCATGGTGAGTTGGTCAAGGTGAGTTGGCCATGGCAAGTTGATGTTGGCCATGGTGAGTTGGCCATGAGTTGGCCAAGGTGAGTTGGCCATGAGTTGGCCATGGTGAGTTGATCATGAGTTGGCCATGGTGAGTTGGCCATGGCAAGTTGGCTCTGGTGAGTTGTAGGCCCCTTCACTTGTGCTGTACCAATTTGCTGGGGAGAGGGACGTCTCTCCGGACCCTTGGCCCAACGCTGTCTTCCTTCTGTAGAGAGCCAGGAGGAACCGGGAGCAAGATGATGACTACAGGGCAGCTCAAGTAGCCCAGGATGAGGTGAGTAGCTGCCAAGTTGATTGAAGCCTCTGTCTGACATCATCCTGGTCATTTGCACCCTTTCAGAGAGCCGTTGAGGCCACCTGGAAGTTTGTCTGTGTCCTCAAGGACACCTGAGTGGTGCAAATAGGTGTGGAGCCTTCTTGGAACTGCTGAGAGGAAGAAGACTCCACACCCATTTGCCCCACTCAGGTGACCCCGAGGACACAGACACACCTCCTTCCCTTCCCCACCCTCCAGTCAGAGCTGAAGAAGCTTCTTGGGAGGAGAAGCGAAACGTCTTCAAAGGAAAAACAAGGAAGTCCAGGGGCCCCTTGAAAAAAGCACCTTTGGGACAAGACAACCTCACCATCCTTCCCTGTATGTGAAGAGGGCTCCCACGGCTCTCTTCTCTCAAGGCTGAGGGTCCCTAAGAGGTCATCTGGACCCCCTTCCACTTTCCTCTTCTAAACCCTTCTTGAAGGAGCCGTGGGTTGCCCTTCCCTTGCCTTGCCCACCTGTGTGGGCCGGGGGCTCTCCCACAACACAGTGTTGCAAACCACCTGGAGTCATTTAGATGAGATGGGCAGTGGAGAAATTTAATAAAAATAAAAATTAAATAATAATGATGATGATGATGATGATGATGATGTTGCATCCTGGCAGCTTTTCCCAGGGAAATGTCCAATAGATTCTTTCTCCTCTGGGCTCTCCGACTAGGAAATTGCACGCTATCTGCAAGACAAGGAACTGCAGACCCACTGGGGCTCCCCGCGCCAGGAAAGGCAGCAGGCCCAGCCCCCCAGGCGTCCCGCAGGACATGGCGACTGCAGCCCAGAGGTAAGAAGCTGCATCACCTTGTGCTGTGGGGCACCTGCTCCATCAACCTCTGCTATCATGAACAGGGACCTTGGAGGTCTTCTAATCCAGCCCCCTGCTCAGACAGGAGACACTTTCGCACAGAAGAACAGAATTGGAAGGGATCTTGGAGGTCTTCTAGTCCAGCCCCCAGCTCAGGCAGGAAGCCCTATGCCATTTCGGACAAATGACTGTCCAGTCCCCTCTTCAAAGCCTCCATTCTCATAAGTGGGAAGCTGATGAGCCTTTCTCTCGCCTCGTTTCCAGAAGGACTCGTGGCAGAATGGCAGGAGTCCCCCCCGGCTGAGGATCCAGACCCAGGAAAGCCCAGATGTGATGGTGACAGTGGCCTCCATCGAGAAGAAGTCAGTGCCGCGTCCAGCTGTTGGGCTGCTTTAATCGCACAGTTGTGAAATTAATGTTGAAGGTCCAACTATGTGCTTGGCTGAGTGGTTTAGTACGCAGGATTGCAGGCTGACTCCATCCCATTTCCTTCCTTCCTTCCTTCCTTCCTTCCTTCCTTCCTTCCTTCCTTCCTTCCTTCCTTCCTTCCTTCCTTCCTTCCTTCCTTCCCAGTGGTTAGAATATAGCATTGCAGGCTAATTCTCTGCCTACAGCCAGCAGTTCAATCCTGACCGGCTCCAGGCTTGACTCAGCCTTCCGTCCGTCCGAGGTCGGTAAAATGAGGACACAGATTGTTGGGGGACAAGATGCTGACCCTGTCAACCGCTTAAAGTGGCCTGTAAAGCACTGTGAAGCGGTCTATAAGTCTAAGGGCTGTTGCTATTGCATCTATTTCTTGGAATGCAACGTCAGTGAACAACTGGAGAGTATCTTTTTTAAAAGGGTCCTTACAGTCTTGGTTTTGTTTTTGTTTTTTTACTTAGGCCACAGTTTTGCCGAAATATTGCTGAAGTTCTGGATCCAACTTTTCAAGCCGCTAAAATGGGAACGCCTTCCGATGGGACGGATCTGGGCTCAAAAGGTAAATAACCAAACAAGAACCATCGTTTTCGTATTTAATGCAAGAGGAAGTCCCCTTGAACTTAATTAGATTCCCAAATAAATTTGCAACGTATCGCTAGGGATTCCTTGCGGTCTGGAGTCCTTACGGGTTCACCGTGAAAGTGTAGTTTTGGTACATGGATGTGGCAGTTTTGATCTGCACGCACACACAGGAAGCTTGGCGACTTCAGCAGAGTCTCTGATTCACACTCTTGATTGTGCTTCGGATGAAAAAGGATATTCCAGAGTTAGGTTTTTTTGGTGGGGTTTCCACCTATCAGATCATTCTATCAAACGGTAACCCCCATCTGATTGTCATAGGGTGACCTCTGACCCTGAGTATTGTGTTTCTGAGTAAGGAATAGAATAGAATAATAACAGACTAGACTAGACTAGAATAGAATACAAAATAGACTAGACTAGACTAATAATAATAATAATAATAAAGTACAGAATAGAATAGAAAATAGAATAGAATAATAGAAAATAGAAAATAGAATAGAAAATAGAATAGAAAATAATAATAGAATAGAATTAGAATAGAATAATAAGAATAGAATAGAATAAAAATAGAATAGAATAGAATAATAGAATAGAACAGAACAGAACAATAGAATAGAATAGAATAAAAATAGAATAGAATAGAATAGAATAGAATAAAGATAGAATAGAATGGAATGGAATGGAATGGAATGGAATAGAAAATATGGAATGGAATGGAATAGAATAGAATAGAAAATAGAATAGAATAGAATAAAAATAATAGAATAGAATAGAATAGGAATAGAATACAATGCAGAAGGGAAGGGAAGAGCTGGAAGGGACCTTGGAGGTCTTCTAGTCCAACCCCCTGTTCAAGGAGGAGGCCCTCTAACAGAGGGGGGTCCATAGGTGAACCAAGATCAGGCCTATCCCTACCTGGAAAATCACGTTCGGAAGAATAATTTTCGAGAGCTGGAGAGACAAGAGAGCTTAGCGGAAGAAGAGACGCCCGCGCAGTTATAACCTTCCTTTTTCTTCCCTCCTCGCAGCCCCCAGCCCAGCACCCCTGGCCCAGACGGACACGCCCTTCAACTACCCGCAGGGGGTGGCAGCCCCCGTCTTTGTCTCCCCCACCAAACGACAGCCAGACAAGGTGGGCTGCCCGAAATCCGGCAACAAGAAGGAAGGCTGCCGACAGCAGTGAAGCTCCCGTCTCCTCCATCCTCTCTCTCTCTGGCGGTCCTGCCCAGCTCCGGGATGGTTCCTTTTTCCCCCCTGGGGGGGGAGAATCCCAAAGCTTCCCCCCCCCTTTTCCGGATTTACATCTAAGCTTTCAACAGGGCTGGGCCGCGTTTCAATCTCCTTCCTCTTATTCCAAGTCCTCACCTTAATCCCGGGTGAAATCCAGCAGGCGAGCCATAAAAAAAGGCTTCAGTTAAAATAATAATAATAATAATTCCAATATCTGAATCTCCAATAGAAAAATGGACTTTCCAGAGAGGGAGGTTATTATCTTGGTCGCCCAAATAAACCCACGTTTGGGATTCGCATCCATATACAGGTAGTCCTCGACTTAACAGCCGTTCGTTTAGTGACCGCTCGTCGTTAACAACGGCGCTGAAAAAAACCAGTGACTCAGGACGATTTTCCACAGTTACGGCCGTCGCAGCCTCCCCGCGGTCACGGGATCAAAATTTGGACGCTTGGAAATGGACTCCTACTTTATGACGGTTACAGGGGTCACCGGGGTCAGACGATCCCTTCTGGCGACCGTCTGACGAGCAAAGTCAGTGGGGGGGAGCCAGATTTACTTAACAACCGTGTTAATAATTTAACGACTGCATTGACTCACTTAACAACTTGTGGCAAGGAAGGTCGTAACACTGGGGCCAAACTCGCTTAACAACGTACATTTGGGGCTCAGTTTTGTGATCGTAAGTTGAGGACTGCCTGTACTGCAGTTACTGGGAGAGCATCCAGGGGTTGAGTTTCATGGGGGGGGGAACATTGCTGATTCAACGGGTTCTATTAAGACGGCACTGAAGGAGCACATCGTCGTGTTGTTTCTTGTTATTTTTCAATTTTAGGTAGCCTCCCATCTCCCTTGCGTGATTCGGGGTTTCTTCACAAGCTAAAGAAGGAAAAAAAGAAAACAGTGGCAAATTGGTATAAATATTTAAAACAATGAACCAAACACATAAAAACGTGGAAAAATATCAACCTACAACTCACGGACTAATACAACAGTCTTGCAATCAATCAGAATAGAGCTGGAAGGGACCTTGGAGGTCCTCTAGTCCAGCCCCCTGCTCAAGCAGGAGATATTTTCAATACAGAATGACATAATTGGAAGGGTCCTCAGAGGTCTTCTAGTCTAACCCCCTGCTCAAGGAGACACTTTCATACAGAATAACAGAGTTGGAAGGGACCTTGAAGGTCTTCTAGTCCAGCCCCCTGCTCAAGCAGAAGAGCCTATATCTCCCCATCCCCACCTGGAGGTCCTAACCCCCAACCCCTCCCCAACTTGTGCCTACCAGCCCCCAAAACTGGAAATTCCATCCGTCTTTAACCCCCGTTAACCGGCTCTCCCAGGAATTTCAGCTCGTGGTCTCAGCCCCACAGGAAAAGCCAGGAACCAGCTCTCCACAGACTTTCCCCCACTATACTGTCCTGCTCACACACAACACACAGAGACACACACACACAACTCTGTTTTAGTGAGCTAGTTAATTCCCCAGCAATTCCATTCACCAAAACCCAAAATTTTCAGCGCTTCGGGAAGGAGAATTTGCAACAAATACAAAAACACAGGACTGTTAGCTGGGAGACAGACACAGCATCACCATTCTGCAGAATTAAACACAGCCACAAACCACATCTGAGAACACAAAGGAAGCGGAGACTTTAGACATATTTGGTGGCCGAGGCTAGGGGGGGGGGAGTATTTTGGATTTTAAAAATAAAAGAGACAGTCATATATATCTGCTGACAGGTTCCAAGACCCCCCCCCCTTCTCCTCCTCCGTCTGCTCGGAAGCCCCCCCCTGCGAAAACTCCGCTAATGCATATTTCTCTTGAAATTTTAGTCTGCTTGGAACCTGAGTTGCAATTACGAGATCTAATTCTGAGAAGACCAGCACTGAAAACGAGACAGAAGGAGCTGGGAAATGCAGGGCAAAAAAGTCATTTCTTGAAATTATACCTAAAACCAAACTTGTCTTACGACTAAAAAAAAAAACCGGACATCTCACTGAAAGATCTTTCTTAAAAACGTGCGCCGAGCAATTCAAAGCGTCAATTCAAAACCGAAGGTTGCCCACAGTCACCAGGCAGATCAACACTGAGCCCCCACAAGGATACAGGCAGTCCTCGGGTTTACGACCGCAACCCGAACTCAACATTTCTGTCGTGTTTTCACTGTTGGCTTTCTCAGAATTGGGTCTCGTAATTGCAACTCGATTCCAAGCAGTGTAAAATTCCCGCATTGACGGGTTTTTTTGCAGGGGGGGGGGCTTCCGAGCAGACGGAGGAGGGGAGGGTCTTGGAACTTGTCAGCAGATATAATGAAGTCCCCACTTCCTTTGTGTTCTCAGTGATGTGGTTTGTGGCTTTAATCCTACAGAATGGGGGTTGCTCTCCAGTTAAGGAACGTTCTCCTTCCTGAGGCGTTGAACCACCCTCCAGATAAAAGCACAAAGCGTTAAAAAAAACAACAACACAGGTGGGGCACAGCCACCTGCATCAACGCCAAGAGAGGGTTACATAATGCAAAACTGAGCGTGCATCGCCTTCATTTTTGTCCGCCGTTGTCCAGCAAAATGGTTGTTTCTCGACCGCAGTGACTTTTAAGATGGGGAAGTTTCAACGGGAAAGCCTGGGAGTTGAAATCACCACATCTGTCTGAAATGGTATTAGATTTCCTGCCTGAGCAGGGGGTTGGACTAGATGACCTCCAAGGTCCCTTCTAACTGTTTTCTATTCTATTCTACTCTGAATTCTAATTCTATTCTATTCCTATTTTCTAATTCTATTCTATTCCTATTTTCTATTCTATTCTATTCATTTATTCCTATTTTCTATTCTATTCTATTCTGTATTCTATTCTATTTTATTCTGTATTCTATTCTATTCTGTATTCTATTCTATTCTGTATTCTATTCTATTCTATTCTGTATTCTATTCTATTCTATTCTATTCTATTCTATTCTATTCTTCTAAATTATCTTAAAAGTTTCTGAGGTTGAGAAGAACTGGGTATGTGGACCTGGGGTGAGTCAGAAGACAATTTAAAGCAAAAATCAAAACTTTGTGTTTGAAGGACAGTTTTCCAAACGGAATGCCAAGGCACCATTTTTCCATCCCCTCCCAAGGCCTCCCTCCCACCTCCCTCCCATCTTGAAGGCCATTTCAGTGGCGGGAAAAAAATACTGGATTACTGTCTTCCAGGTCCTACCAAACCACAATTGCTCTCCGCTATTTATGAAAACAGATGGGGACTTTTTTCAGGTTTACACACGAGTTTATAGAAGACGCGTCAATTTTAATAAGGGTTCACCAAACAAAAGCCGTTTGAGAGCACCCCCCCCCTTTTTTTTTGCTTTCCCCCCCAAATCGTTTTCAAAGCAGAGCATCTCTAGTAACCTTTTAGAACTTGAGAAGTTGAAAGCACAGCTGGCTGGGTGATGTATAAATATGGAAATATCGTCCAAGGTGCCCGTCTTTGCACCATAACCGGCGGTGGGCTGCTGTACGCACAAACCACGAAAGATCAAAGCATGGCTGGCCAAAAAGACGATCAGGGTTGGGGCAGAGACGGAAGGCAGCCAACGCAACTCAACTCAAGACATTTCCACTCGGCGTCACCAGCAAAATTCATTCACGTAAAGGAACGGTCGCGCTATGAGTCATTTTGATATCTGAATCAAAAGAACAGAAGCAGCAGCTGGGAGGAAGGGCGTTCGTATGTGGGAAAGCGATGACTAATTACGATAAAACCGAGTTTCGTACTTAGACTACTGATAGGCCATCGAAAAGAGGCTGGAAGCCACAAGCCGCCCCCCCTGCCAAGGCTGACAAAAACTAGCTTTGGATGTTAGACTTTCTGGAGGTCGTTCTGGACAAACCACTTGGAAATGGAGGATGTCAGTCTACGGAAGACCACCAGGTTCTCAAGAACTTCCGGCCTTCCTTTGCTATTTAACTTAACAAGATTGCAGCACTTTCCTTCAATGCCATGATTTTATTTTTGTATGAGGCTTTTGCCCCGGCGCCCTTGTCCCATCGCCTTCCAGCCATCCACACACAAATCATTCTAAAGGTGTGGTGTTGTTGTTGTTGTTGTTAAGTTCAAACCAAGGGCCATCAGGGCGATATTCCAGTTCCGTTTAGACAAACGGATAAACCTGGTTTAAAGAGGATGGTCGTGGTTCTTCAATTGCTCAAAGGACATCTTCTGAATGTGGCAAGAATGTTTTTCAAAAGCAGAGGTGCTCAAATGCTTTGGGGATCTTTGAGGCTCTTCCTCAGATCAAGGTAACCCTTCTTGGCACTTGGACCCGGACTTATATAGCTTGGGAATCGTATTTTTCCAAAAGGACCCCCTTGAGGCTGGAAACCGCTTCACAGCTTCCTCCTTCTTCTTCTTCGGGGTACCGGTAGCTGCAGTCGTCAACTTCCTGGGCCAACTGGCCCTGTAAAGCTACGGAACAGAAGAAGTGGGAGAACTGAGGCACAAAACCGACGCTCAGGCATGCAAGGCAGTTCAAGACCTCGGAATGGGGCCACTAGGCACGGTCAATTCGCCACAGCCATCACGGCCAACTCACCATGGCCAATTCATCATGGTCAACTCATCATGGCCAACTTGGCATGGTCAATTCACCATGGCCAACTTGGCATGGTCAATTTGCCATGGCCAACTCACTACGGCCAACTCTGCACGGTCAACTCACCACAGTCAACTTGTCATGGCCAACTCACTGTGGGACAATTCAACAATTCAATTGAATTCTTTAAAATAGTTTTGTCCTTCCTTTGGCATCCTTTAATGATTCAATTCCACCATTTCTTAGATATTAGTGTAACTCTCGGTGAATTATCCTGGGGCCAGTTGGCCATGATGTAGACCCTTGGGAGGTAGTACCGTATTTCCCCAAAAATAAGACTGGGTCTTATATGAATTTTTGCTCCAAAAGACGCATTAGGGCTTCTTTTGGGGGGAAATACGGTACTAAATGCGTCCATCTGGCTGACGATCTTAGCTGGGGGTTATTTTGGGGGTGGGGGTTCTATTACGAGCATCCTGGCAAAAAAATCATTTCCAGTTAGGTCTTATTTTCGTGGAAATCAGTAGCAGGAGAGGAAGAATTAGCAGAGCAGTGCTGGCCAACAGTAGCAGGGAAATGGCCTTACGTTTCACGAGCTTCTTTCGGATCCAGGATCGGAGGAAGAGATAGGCCAGCACCATGCACACGGCGAACAGAAGGATGGTGATGGCAAAGGCAGAGCTGATGAGGACCACTTGGCCTCCCCCCTCTAAAAGAAAGCAGGAAAAGAAAAGAAAAAACAACATCCTTCAGAAAAATCCCACCTCTGAAAAGCTGAATTAAAATTGTTGTGTTATTTTCGCAATGCTAAAATAATTTCTTTTATAATGGTCAAACATTCCAGGACTGCATTCATAAAACTTCATGCGATTCCACATTTACTGAGCAATCGTAACTTTGGCCAACGCACATCAGTCAATTCATTTTGGGATTCATCCAGTGGATGTTGACCCAGAAACTAACTAATTAACTAGATAACCAGATAAATTAATACATGAGCTGAGTCTGCATAACACCCTGAGAAAAACAACGAAAAAGTCTCAAACTAGCCAAACCTTGCAGATCTTTCATCTGATTGCACATCATCTGTGAACGCAGACGAAATAATCTCAGCCTCTTCTTTTTTGCATTTCTCAGTCAGTATGAAAATAAAATGATACAGCTTTCAGAAGAAAGAGGCATATTCCTAGCAGAGGCCAACAAAGGGCAGAATTTATTCTGTTTATTTTTGAAAGGTGTCTATGTTCTCCCATCTTGCCAGGCTTTGGGTGAAGTCCAAAGGAAGCTTTTTCAAGAGAAATAAATCTCAGCTGAAAAACAATCTTCTTAGAAAGATGAGCTTTCTAAGTTGGTGCCTAAAAGTGGGATTAAGGCCCAATGTTTCTCAGCCTTGGCGACTTAAGACTTGTGGACTTCTGAGTCGGGGGTTGGACTAGAAGACCTCCAAGGTCCCTTCCAATTCTGTTATTCTATTCTAATTCTATATTCCTATTCTATTCTAATTCTATTCTATTATTTCTATTCTATTCTATTATTTCTATTCTATTCTATTTTTTATTTCTATTTTATTCTAGTCTTTATTCCTATTCTATTCTAGTCTTTATTGTAATTTCTATTCTATTCTAATTCTATTTTAAATCTAATTCTATTCTAATTCTATTCTATTATTTCTATTCTATTCTATTCTATTCTATTATTTCTATTCTATTCTATTTTTTATTTCTATTTTATTCTAGTCTTTATTCCTATTCTATTCCAGTCTTTATTCTAATTTCTATTTATTGTAATTTCTATTCTATTGTAATTTCTATTCTATTCTAATTCTATTCTAAATTTAATTCTATTCTATTATTTCTACTCTATTCTATTATTTCTATTCTATTCTTTATTTCTATTTTATTCTAGTCTTTATTCCTATTCTATTCTTTATTCTAATTTCTATTATAATTTCTATTCTATTCTATTCTAAATTATCTCAGCTGTTATATGAGATAAATAAATGTTCAAACAAGACTTGCCTGAAATCTTAGTGGACAAGACAGACATGGAAGTGAAGGGCTGGGTGGTGAGTTTTGCTGTCCAGCAAATCACATCTCTCTTCTTGGTCCCAGCTTCCCGAATCCTATCGCCTGGACATCTGTAATAATAATAATAATAATAATAATAATAATAATAATAATAATAATAATAATAAAGTTGGAAGGGACCTTGGAGGTCATCTAGTCCAACCCCCTGCTCCGGCAGGAGACCCTATCCCATTTCAGACAAATGGCTGTCCAATCTCTTCTTAAAAACCTCCAGTGTTAGAGCATTCACTGCTTCTGGAGGCAGGCTGTTCCACTGGTTAATTGCCCAAAGGTAGTTAGCTTCATGTTTTATATTTGAGATTTATTTATTTTTTTTAAAAAAACAACACAATTATTTCCGAAGAACTTACTTTGTCCATGGACGGCATTTGCCCGTAGGTTGATCATTAAAGGTCTTCTCTGGACAGTCCTGACAACCTGGAGAAACACAGCAGGAGATTTGGGGTCTGGATGAGTCCTTGGCTTGGCCAGGAGCGCCTGCCGTGTGCTGCATCCCAAGTCAGCTTCGGAGGGTTATAAATCACACAACCACACACACACACACAACAGTTGCTTGTGGCAGGTGAAAAATCCCGCAACTGCTGACGTTCAAGAGAAGTTCTTGAGTCAGACAGTTTTCTACGACCGCAACTGAGCCCAAAACGTATGTCGCAAAGCGAGACCTTTGTGAAGGGAGCTTTGCCTCATTTTACGACCGTCGTGGCCACAGTGCTTAAGCGAATCGCTGCAGTTGTGAAGTTAGTCACACGGTCGTTAAACGAACCCATCTTCCCCCAATGACACTGCTAAGTCTGAAGGTTGCAAAAGGGGATGACGTGAACCCCAGGACGCTGCAGCCGTCATAAGTATGAGTCAGTTGCTAAGCGTCTGAATTTTGATCACATGACCATGGGGATGCTGGTAACCGTGAAAAGCGGTCCCAAGTCGCATTTTTTTCAGAGTTGTTGTAACTTGGGACAGTCACTAAACAAACTTATAAGTCGAGGACCGTCTGTACAGAGAATTACTCCACTTAGTGGCCACCTTACCTGTGAAAGTCCTTTGCTGTCCGGGGGCACACTTACACGCCTCGCACTTTTCCCCACATGAATAGCCCCGCGCGCATTCACAAACGGCATCTGTGGTTTCGGTACATTTCTGCTTGTACACCAAAGTTCCTTAAAGGTTAAACATATTAAAAAGACAAAATATGTTATATCTGCAGAGAAGGCGATTCCCTCTGAGCTAAACTCAAGTGACTTTGAGAGGGGATTTAGCAACAGGTGGGAAAAAAAAGGTCTTAAGTTGTGGTTAACCAGGATTGGAGAGTATTTGGTCACCACGATGTAAGAAAAGATCTTGAGAAAGAGGACAGAAAAAAGCTGGAGCGTTGCAGGAATTGGGGATGTCTAGTTTAATGAAGAGAAGGACCAGGGGTGAGGTGATAGCAGTGTTTTAATATTTGAGGGGCTGCCCCAAAGAAGAGAAGGGGTCCACCTCTTCTCCAAAGCAACAGAAAGCCAGACGAGGAATAACGGATGGACACTAATCAAGGAGAGAAGCAACCTGGAATGAAGGAGAAACTTCCTGACAGGGAGGACAATTAACCAGTGGAACAACCTGCCTCCAGAAGTTGTGGGTGCTCCATTAAGAGACTGGTCACCCATTTATCTGAATGGTATATGGTTTCCTGCCTGAGCAGGGGGTTGGACTAGAAGACCTCCAAGGTCCCTTCCAGCTCTCTTATTCCCTTATTCTGTCCCCACGAGGTGTCCTTCCACACACTGTGACTCAAAGGCTTGAAAGCCGAGGAAGGGTAGCCTCCCGGGTCTACCTCCCCCCTCCCCTTCCAGCCCCCGCCCCCTCCCGCCAGTCTGACCGGAGGGATCCCCGCGTGGTCTACTTACTGTCGCAGACGCTGCATTGCTGGCAATACTGGCCTGGCCCCGGGCTGAAGGTGCCTAAAAAAGAGAAGAAGGACGACTCAGCGTGTCTCGCATCTCGTGGGAAACGGGCCGGGGGCCGTTCCCCCGAAGCGGGGCATCTCGCATCAGCGGCCCGGGGGCTCACCGTTCGGGCAGGAGACCCTGCACAGAACTTGGTTGCGGAGCAGCGGCTGCAGCAACAGCAGCGCCCACAGCAGCCGCTCCATCGGCTCCGAAGCGCGGCGCGTTTGCCGGTGGCTGGATGGGGGCTCCGTGGGACTTTCCTCCTCCTCCTGGGCTGGCCTGCTCGCTTTTGGCGCCCCGCGGGGACTGGCGGCGACTGAGCCCGCGGGGCGGGGCGTGACCCCACCTACCCACCCACCCCATGCCCGGGGTGGGGGGAAGGCAATCCGGAATGCCCGCAACTGAATTGTGGCGTTTGGGGTGGGGTGGGGGGGAAGAGGAGGGGGCGTGTGCTTTCCGTGGTTTGCAGAAGTCAGCGGAGTAACAGAGCTGGAAGGGACCTTAGAGGTCGTCTAGTCCAACCCCCTGCTCAAGCAGGAGACCCTAGATCAAGCAATCAGAATAGAGCTGGAAGGGACCTTGGAGGTCCTCTAGTCCAGCCCCCTGCTCAAGCAGGAGACCCCAGATCAAACAATTGGAATAGAGCTGGAAGGGACCTTGGAGGTCCTCTAGTCCAGCCTCCTGCTCAAGCAGGAGACCCCAGATCAAGCAATCGGAATAGAGCTGGAAGGGAGCTTGGAGGTCCTCTAGTCCAGCCCCCTGCTCAAGCAGGAGACCCCAGATCAAACAATTGGAATAGAGCTGGAAGGGAGCTTGGAGGTCCTCTAGTCCAGCCCCCTGCTCAAGCAGGAGACCCCAGATCAATCAATCAATCGGAATAGAGCTGGAAGGGAGCTTGGAGGTCTTCTAGTCCAGCCCCCTGCTCAAGCAGCAGACCCTAGACCATTTCATACAGGTGGCCGTCCAGTCTCTTCTTAAAAACCTCCAGTGATGGAACACCCACAACGTCTGGAGGCAACCACTGGTTCATTGTTCTCCCTTACGAAGTTCCTCCTTACTCTGATTGATTTTCCTTTTATCAATTTTATAAATTATTCAAGATAGCAAAGATAGTTAATAACCCTCCTCCTATTAGCTTAGCTAATGTGAGGGAGGGAGGGACTCGCCCCAAGTTGCTCAGCCAGCTTTCAGACCTAAAATGAGACTAGAACTCACCGTCTCCTGGCAAGTTGTCCAAAATGGTAAGGTGGGACTTGAACTCACCGTCTCCTAGTGATTGGAGCTCGCTTTTGTGCCTAAGGCAGGACTAGAACTCACAATCACCACAAACTGGATGGTAGTTTTGTCATCATAAAAAAAGGAACAGAGAAGGCCGCGGCATTTATAAGAGAAGTATTATCACTGCTGGACAGCTTATCAGCACCAATGGGAGATACCACCACCCACGTTGTGTATTGGAAAGCAACTCTCACTAACCACCAACCTATTCCGCCATCCAAGCAACAACTCAACCACCCACAAGAGAAGCTACGCAAGAACCTTCTTCAGATTAGCACAGTTTCACCGCAGCAGCCCAGAATTCCCACAAAGCAAAAAGGGCGATCCTAATCTCTCCTGCTTGAGCCGGAGTGGGGTGGGGGATGAACTAGATGACCTTGCCACCAGAAGTCGTGAATGCTCCCACACAGTCACTTGTTTGAAATGGTCTAGGGTCTCCTGCTTGAGCAGAGGGCTGGATTAGATGACCTCCAAGGTCCCTTCCAGCTCTTATTCTGATTAATTGATTGAAATGGTCTAGGTTCTCCTGCTTGAGCAGGGGGATGGACTAGATGACCTCCAAGGTCCCTTCCAGCTCTATTCTGATTGATTAAAATGAGGTAGGGTCTCCTGCTTGAGCAGGGGGCTGGAGTAGATGATCTCCAAGGTCCCTTCCAGCCCTATTCTGATTGGTGCCTGGCTGTCCTGGGCTGTCCTAACAGGCGAAAGAGGAGCACCTTCCCTCGCCTTCAACGGGGCGGGGAGGGGTTTCTCCACGCGAGGGCCAGAGCTCAGCGGCCGGATACCCCCGCGGAAAAGCCAGCCGGCCGGCCGGCTTCCACGTGCGCCATCTCCTGCGGGGGAGTGCGCAGATCCGCCGCGGCTGTGACCTTCTTCGCAGCCTCCCCCGCTCGCAAAACTCCTCCCCTTGGCTCCCACCGGCATCCCCCCCCCCAAGCAAAGGGGGAGCCCCCTCTACGGAATACGTCATCGTCAGCCCCGGCTGCCAAAGTGGGGGGGGAGGGAAAGCCCCTCTGGTGGAAGGCGCGGCAGGGAAGCCCCCGCGATCCCTCGGGTGGGGGGGAAGGGCGCGCCTCGACCCCTCCCCCCCCCAGGAGATCCAGACGCTCTTCCAAACGAGCTGTGCTGGCTCAGGAATTCTGGGAGTTGAACTCCACGAGTCATAAAAGAGCCAAGGTTGCCTGGTCTGGGGTCTCCTGCTTGAGCAGGGGGTTGGGCTAGATGACCTCTAAGGTGCCTTCCAACTCTTATGATTTTTATGATTTTTCTCATTAAGAGGCCGGCGCATTCCCAGTCTGTGGACTTTTGAAGATACGACCTCTGCTATTTTAAGGAGGTGTGAAATTCAGGTCCCAAAATAAGCTGGCCGAAAGGTTACGGGGTTGAAATAGGTCGCCGTCACGTGTGTCTTGCACCCCTCCCGCCCCCCTTGCCGGTCAAATCCTGGGAGAAAATCGAGTGCAGTCGTCCTTTTTTACAACAGTTCACTTAGTGACCGTTCCAAGTGACAACGGCACTGAAAAAAAAAAAGAGGGGCCCTTATGCGTCTTGAATGCCCGAGTCGCTGCAAAGTTCCGAAAAGTACATTTCCCACCATTCCTTCCGGAATTCACTTCCGGGTTCTGCAACCATGCCTACTTCCGGGTTATGAGGCCTTCAACTCCCAGAATGCTCAGCCCAGCCCCAGGAATTTGGGGAAATGAAGTCCACTAATTGGGAAACGCTGGGCTGCCGATGCGCGGCTTTTGGGCCAGGGGTAGGCAACCTTGGCTCTTTTATGACTCGTGGACTTCAACTCCCAGAATTCCCGAGCCAGCCACGCTGAGGGGGGGAAAGGGAGAGGTTTCCAAGCTGAACCATGCTGGCTCAGGAATTCTGGGAGTTGAAGTCCACGAGTCATCAAAGAGCCAAGGTTGCCTACCCCTGTTTTGGGCTAAGCCGGGGAGCCTTCCTGGGCGCCGCTCCGCGCTCGGCATTTCCCAAGCTGAGCAGCCCCTTCCACCTTTGGGACCCCCACCCCCCCACCCCACCCTCTCCAGCATTCCATGGGGGGGGAGCCGTGCATCAACCTCCCCCACCCCATTGCAAGTTGCCTTTTGCAAGGGGTGCAATGCGCCCAGCTGAGACGCGCGAGCCCCTCTTTTGCGCACGGGAGAGACCCCGCGCGCCATGCCCTGCAGGCTCTGGGGAGGGGGGGTCGCGCGCCCCTTCCCTGCCCCCCCCAGGGAACCTCCTCCTCCTCCACCCTCCCAGCCCCGCCCACCCAAAGGCGCCGCCCCCCCCGTGTCGCAGCACCAGCCCGGCGGAGCGGAGCGCAAAGGGAGCGAAGCCGTAACCGAATCTGATCGTAAGAACCGCGTGGCTACCCTCCGTCCAGCCCCGGTCCGCAGCCCTTTCCCAAGCCGGGGTCTCCCCAACAAGTCCCTCCGTCCATCCCTCGCCCCTTTCCGTGCCGGGGTCTCCCCAACGGGTCGGTCCAACCCGCAGTCCCGCAACGAAGCCTGGCCAGCTTTGCGCGCGGACGCACGGCGGCTGGCCGGTTTCTTCTCCCGGGAGAGCGGCTTCTCCTCCCGGGCGGCGGGAGGGTCGTTGCCCAAAGCCCCCCGCCCGCCCGCCCGCCCGCTTCTCAAGGCGCTTTGCCCCCTCCCCTTGCAGAACCACCGCCGCTGCTTCCCCATGGGCTCCAAACGAGCGCTGGTGATCTTGGCCAAGGGGGCCGAAGAAATGGAAACGGTCATCCCGACGGATCTGATGCGGAGGGCAGGAGTAAGTCCCTGTGCGGGGCTGACCCCCACCCCACTCCACCCCCAAAAAAGGCCTTTGTCTGCCACCACCTCCCAAGGCAGCTAAAATACATAATTCTCCTTTCCTCCATTGTTGAAAACCCATCAATGTATAGGGAACAGAGTAGAGTCTCCATTCCAGAGGTCTTCAAGCGTGGCCCTTTTATGGCTGGTGGACTTCAACTCCCAGCGTGCACGCTGGCTGAAGAATTCTGGGAGTTGAAGTCCACAAGTCATAATAAAAGGGCCACGTTGGAAGACTCCCTGCTCTATTCTATTCTGATTGATTGGTCCGCCCGTCTTAAAGCGGGCAAGGCTAAGAAACTCTTTGCAGCTTAGATGCTGTCTTCATTCGGTGTATTTGTACTCACTGAAGCACTGCCGTTTTCTTAACAGATTTCTGTCACCATAGCGGGCCTGTCTGGAAAGGACCCGGTGCAGTGTAGCCGTGATGTGGTGATTTGTCCTGACGCGAGTTTGGAAGAGGCGCGGAAAAAGGTTTGTGTCCCCCCTTTTTTTAAGCGCAGTGTCAAGAATGAAACTTTGGCCTCTTCGTTTCAGCTTGCCATTAAGAGTTGAGGAGGTGTGGCTTTGAAAAGTGTACAGATGGAGAAATGAATTTTTTTGTTGATTCTGCTGAATACCCTTGAGACCCCGAGCTGCTTCCAAGGACACCGAAGCAGGTGACGGAGAAAAGCAGCCGGTTCCCATAACAAAGGGAAATGGTTTACAGTGACTATGTGAAAGGGCAGGGGGGGCTTGAGCAAAGAGACTATTGTTTAAATCTTTGATCTGATGTCTGGGAACCTCAGAGTGAATTTTACTTTGAGAGTACTACTGTATTTCCTCAAAAATAAGGTCTAACTGGAAAAATAAACTGTAGCTTGATTCTTCAGGATGTTTGTAATATAAGCCCTACTCAAAAAATAAACCCTGGTTAAGATTGTCGGCCAGACGGACACATTTAGTACCTCCGTTGCAACACACAACAGACATATTGAATTATAAAATATATAATTAAACAAATAAATAATATTATGGACATTATTTATTTGAATAAAGGTAGGTTTTGTTGTACGTGAAAAAAAAATAAGGCATCAGCTGAAAATAAGCCCTCATGCATCTTTTGGAGCAAAAACTAATATACATTATGTTACATAAATTAATATAAATATAATTAATATTAAAAAATAATATAAATTAAGAGCCGGTTTTAATTTCGGGGAAATATGATATGCCGTGTATTTAGTAGTTAAGATTTCTGGAAAGCGAATGAGCTTGGTGACTTATTTGGTTTCTTAGACTGGATGTTGACACATGGGGGTGGGGTCTTTGGGACAACCTCACTTTTCATTTTTTTAGAGGGGCGTTTCTCAGTTGTGGCCGTTAAGTTGAGGACTGTGTGTATTGAGTGACCTTTTTCTCTTTTGATAAGGGGCCCTACGATGTGGTGGTCCTGCCAGGAGGCAACCTGGGAGCTCAGAACTTATCAGAGGTAAAAAAAACACCATAGTTGATTTTCTGCGTTTCTGAAAGGGAACGCGATGGGGCTGCAATCTCCCAGTTTTTCAGGAGTTCTGCTAAAAGGACCACCGTTTATTTTATTTTTGAAAATGATTAATGAAGAGAAGGATGCGGGGGGACAAGATAGCAGTGTTCCAGTATCTCAGGGGCTGCCCCAAAGAAGAGGGAGTCAAGCTATTCTCCAAAGTCACCTGAAGGCAGGACAAGAAGCAACGGATGGAAACTAATCCAGGAGAGAAGCAACCGCAGTAAATGCTCCAACACTGGAAGTTTTTAAGAAGAGACTGGACAGCCATTTGTACGAAATGGTGTAGGGCAGTGTTTCTCATTGCTGGTTGTGGAATTCTGGGAATTGAAGTCCACATGCCTTAAAATGGTCAAGGTTGAGAAACACTGGTATAGGGTTTCCTGCCTGAGCAGGGGGTTGGACTCGATGATCTCCAAGGTCCCTTCCAACTTTTTTATTATTATTATTATTATTATCCCCTCTCTTTGATCTATTCTTGCAGTCTCCCCTCGTGAAAGACATCTTGAAGGATCAGGACAGCCGGAAAGGCCTCATTGCAGCCATCTGTGCAGGTACGTTTCTAACTCCACCTTTGAGGAATGGTGGGCTAGCCCACCCCCCCCCCCAGACCTGACAGCCCCCATTGGAATACTCGGATTTGGGGCCTTTACTGATTGGCTGCAATGACTGGGCCTGGCTCTGCAGGCTTGCAAGAAAATGGTAAGAATCCGGAAGCTACAAATAGCATTCTAAGCCTCCAGAAGCTGCAAATAAAATTCTAAGAATAAAGTCACACAGTTCTTAAATGATTCTAGCTTCCCCATTGACTTTGCTTGTCGGACGGTCGCAAAAAGGGTCACGTGACACCCCCCGGATACTGCGGCGGTCATAAGTATGGGTCAGTTCAATTGCCAAGCGTCTGAACGCATAACCCAGCTGGTGCTCCTTTTGTACTGGAGCTGGCGGTGACAGAATCACCGCTCTCTTCTCCTGCGTTGATCCACAGGTCCCACGGCGCTCCTTGCGCATGGAATTGGCTTTGGCAGCAAAGTGACCACCCACCCTTTGGCAAAAGAGAAGATGATGAACGGGGGTCAGTATCCACACCCTTTCTCGTGGGGAGGGACAGTGCAGCGTGGGTTGTGGGTCAGCAGCAGAGGTTTATTATTCTCCAGAACATAATCTAGGTCAGGGGTCCCCAGGCCACAGCCCATAACCTTGAATCCTTCAAAACCGGGCCACGGAAGTGGCAGGCAAGGGCGGGTGTCATTCTTGAATCCGGAGTGGATCCGGACTTTGCGTCATCTTGTTCTGCTTTTGAAGGGGTTGGGTGCCAATTTGTCAGTTGGGAGTAACTCTCCTCCTCCTTTAAGATCACTACAACTACTCGGAGAATCGGGTGGAGAAAGACGGGCACATCATGACCAGCCGGGGGCCTGGCACCAGTTTTGAATTTGGCCTTGCCATCGTGGAAACGCTGCTGGGCAAGGAAGTGGCTGCCCAGACGAAGGCGCCTCTCGTCCTGAAGGACTAGAACCCAGTCTAGAACCCCGTCACTCGCCTGCTTCGTCTTTACGACTGGATCCTTTTTCTTGAAGGCAGAGCGCCAAAGGAATCAAGCAGAGCTGCCAATGTTGCTTGGCAAACTTAATTCTTGCAATAAAGAGGATACGTGTTAAACTGAGTTGTCTCGTGGCTGGAAATCATTTAAAAAAAAAAAAAAAAACTCACCCCATCAAGGCAGAGGACCAGAATTGAAACCCCAGCAAGTAGACACAGTCCCTAAGGGAGCCCCCAGAATTGATAAATTTTGATAAAAGAGGATATTATTGGAAGAGGAGAAAATCAAGGAAAGCGACTAGGTGGAGTATGGAATTATAGAAATTAATTGTTATGGATTGTAAAGATAAAACCAGACGTGCTGTTTACCAAATATTGCTCATGCTAAAAAAAAATTAAATATATATATATATAAAAAACTTGGAGGGACGCTTTGCCCTGCCTCTGCAGTGGGGGGGGGGCATTGGACAGAATTTGGTCCTTCCCCCCCTCCTCACCTTAGCCAGTTGTAATGCCCAAAAGCAGCCACTGGGGGGCAGCATTTGCTGCCAACTTCACAACTTGCCAAAACATCTGAATTCTGATCATGTGACCTACAGGGATACTGCACTGCGACGGTCGTAAGGATGAGGACCATTTGTCGCTTTTTCTGTTGTCGCTTCAAATGGTCCCTAAATGGGACCGTGTTGTGTCCCAAACTGCCTGCGGCAGCGACGCACACAAAAGTGTGTAGACACACCAGTTGCAAACTTGTCTTAAAGATTGCTAGCCATGGTTATACAGGGAGTCCTTGACTTGGTACGATGGTTTAAGGTGTTAATTTTGAAAATTTAATTTTTAATTGTAATTAGTCCTAGGAAACCAGGTCTGTGTGTTTGATCCCAGCACTCGGGTATTTCGGTGCAGGGACACGTATACACCCTACCGTATAATCGGAATTAAATAGGCCCGTGTTGTAATTTATTAGCAAGCCATTTCATGATGCAGGTCTTGCAGGATGACTTGAAACAGGTTCTTTAAACATGCAAATTAGGAGGCATGGCAAAAGGTTTGCAAACCAAAATCTATTAGGATGGATTGGTCTAGGGTCCCCTGCTTAAGCAAGGGGCTGGACTAGGTGACCTCCAGGGTCCCAGCTCTATTCTGATTGATTGGTCTAGGGTCCCCTGCTTGAGCAGGGGGTTGGACTAGATGACCTCCAAGGTCCCTTCCAGCTCTATTCTGATTAATTGAACAGCACCCTGAGGTCCTATGATCATCAGATATCCTTCCCGAAAAGCAAAATCAAATAGGGGAAGGCGGATTTGGTTAACTGTGGGATTCTCTTAACTGGGCGATTCGCTTAAAGACCGTGGCATCAAAAGTCATAAAACTGTGCATGAATTGTGCCTCACTTAGCAACAAAAAAAACTGTCGTCGTACCTCAAGGACTACCGGCGTCATATCGTCCCGACCAGCAACTGCCTAGCTTCTAATCCTGCCTGCAACTTGTGTAGCCAGAAACTTCCAAGCGTGGCAGACTGCCCAATTTTGATAGGCACATCGTATGATGTGATTGACCAATGTGGAGTGAGCAGAAACACACACCCTACAACGAAGCCGGGTGACAAAATTCTATTTGGCAACTCAAATTGGCTTCCAGTCTGGTGAGCAGAGAGAGGACTGAAGTCAGAGCAGGGTGGGGACGCTGGCTAATCAATAAATGTGGGAGCTGCTCTGTTACCATAAATAAGTATGTCGTAACTTTATTAAATCCAAGACGTGACAATATATCCAAAACACAACTGGTACACAATTCCTCAATACTGTACATCCCCTACATAAGTTTTTCAGTGCATTGTTTCTGTTATTAAGGTTGCCTTCATTTCGTTTGTCCTAGAATGGTCAGCTTGCCTAAAATGTCAGGGAAAAAAAACAAAACATGTTCCCATTTTAGCGGTTGGGTAAGTGTAAACAATGGGGTTGTGTTAATACAAAGGCTACGGACAGTCCTTGGTCGGAGAGCACCTTCTCGCCTTCTGCTTATTTATAAAGTGTGCGTGTGAGTGTGTGAAAATGAACAACTCATCCACGGAATGAGACCCTCCGTGGATCAGAAATGAGATTCAAAGGCCCTGGGACCCAGCAGGCTTCGTTCCCAAGATTCGGGACCCACAATTGGGTCCCTTACACAATTGGTCCTCTTTTCAAGCAAACATAGTGTCTTAGTTGGAACGCAACTTTTTGCTGACGTGTGGGTCACACAATGCCCTCTCCGGCTGCAGAAACACAGAGCCGTGCATCTAGAGCAGGGGTGTCAAACTTGCAACATCACGTGACGTGTCGCGACATATCGCGACTTCTTTTTGCCATTGCCAGCAATGGGGTGGGCACGGTTTTGCTATGATGCACCCAGCCCGTGGGCCAGCAGTTGGACACCCAGATCCACAATCCCTGGCCTGTGGCCCGTTTAAAACCGGGCCGCATCAGTGGCGGGCGGGTGCCTGCACATGCGGGGCTTTAATTGCGTGGGTGACGGGCGCTCGCGCGCGCAGCTTCACTTGCACGAACAGCGAGCGCTTGGCTCAGGCGCAAAGGTCCATTTGCGCCAAGCCCAAATAAAGTTAGTGTGCACTCAAGGCAAAAAAAAAAAAAATCCCCTCTCCGGCCGGGCCACCAAACTAGGAAGGTTGGAGACTGCGGATGTAGAGAAATAAAATGAATTTTTCTCACAGCTCATGATGACGATGGCTGCCAAAGAAAGGACGGGCCGAGGGACAGGCAAGTGGGTGACTAACTCTGCCCATGGCCGTGTTTTTCCTCCCTGGAGAGAACATCAGCCTGGGAGAGCTCCATCACCCTTCCCAAGCAGAGAACAGAACATCCAGGGACAGAAATAATTTTAAAGGCTACCGACACCCCGAAGTGGAAAAAAAAACGTCTACTAACACCCACGAAAATACTGAATTTGCTTTCTTCTGGGCTTGCAGCCAAAGCCAGCGGTCTCCTTAGCAAGACTACCATTCCATCGCTCTTCGTAGGTGAGTTTCTACATATATGTATATATTACTCTAGAGCAGGGGTCACCAACCCCTGGGCCACAGCCCACTACGGGTTCAAAACCGAGCGGCAGGGCGAGCGTACGCACGCAGCTCCATCTGTGCAAGGGGCGGACACGACGTGCCCGCCGCTCGGACAAATGGAGCTGTGCTTCCTCACCACACTCCAGCCTGCAAAGCAGGAACACTTGGAGACCCCTGCTCTAGAATATTCAATAACTGGCCAACTTGAGTTGGGTAGGCTTGTTCTCCTCCACGTTTTGTCCTGCCCCGGGGAAATGGGTGTCGGCAAATTGAACCAGGATGTTGCTACCGTTGCCGTCTGTCCAGGAGGCTCCAGCTTCCTTTACGTCCAGGTTACGTCTTTGCACAAGTCCCTTGGAAAAGAGTTGGTCATTCTCGGATTCAAATATCTTTTCAACGCTTGCTGCGTTGCTCTAACCCTTGATCCCTACGGGGAAACCATGCAGGCCAAGTGTTTGCGTTTTACTAGTCCTCCCAAGTCAGACTTGACCAGCGTGGCGGGCCCGTGGGCTGCCCGTTGCCCTTCCTCCGGCCTCAAGCTGCCCTCTTCAGCTTCCCGGAAGAACATCTCGTATTTGTCCAAATAGGGGGGTCTCTCCGGTAAAAGATAGTAGTGAGTGGAGCTGACTTTCTTGCCATTTTCGATGATGGGCAGGATACAGGGCACCTTGTGGGCAGAGCCTTCACTGTTCTGCCTCTGGAGAGCTTTGCTGCTGACGTATTTCGGATCCGGGGCAAAACTCTGGGTCGGAGGCATGACCCCGTGGAGGTACGCCGGCAACGTTTTGGGACTCGGCGTTCGGGAATGGCTCCAGGGCAGAGGTTCTCGCGGAGGGATCTTGGGCGGTTTCTCCTCGTTGTTGTAAGCGCTGGTGGTCACTTCAGCTGACCACCTCCGATAATCGGGCTTGAGTGGCCGGGGTGGCAGAGGTGCCCTGGGAGGAACCTCGGGTTTATCGTCATCGGAGCTGGGAGAGGAGCGACAGACGTGGCTGGAGACCCTGACTGACGGCTTGTGGAAGGACCCAGCTGGGCCGGAATGAGAACGACGCAACCGCCGATGGGACTGTTGTGGAGGCGGCGGGGGAGGACAGGCGCTCTCTGGGCCGCTGCCCTGTTGAGGCTTCCCCTCTCCCGGACCGTCGAAGTAGGCATAGTTAATCTGGCCACAGCCCCTGAAGCTTCGCCTACCCTGGGCCGAAAGCTTAAAACCAGGGCTAGGGCAGTTTTCCAGCAAGAAATCGGTGTCCGAACAGGTCAGGAACTCAACTTCCCGGTCCACCTCGTCGTGCAGGAAGCCTTCGGCAGTGGGCAGAGGAGGCAGGGGTCGGGCGCTTCGCTCCACAGAAGACAGGGGAAGGGAGAGGAGTGGCCCACTCTTCCCCGGAATGTGAGAAGGCATCTCCTCAGGGTTGCAGTTCTTGGTCAGAGAAAGTCCACCGAAGCCAGAAGCGAGGCCATCTTCGGAGGTGGAAGGGACAGGGGGGCGAAGGAGAGAAGGGCTGGCTCTCCAGATGCAGCTTGGACCACAATCTGGATCGGGACCGGAGACCTGGCCTAGGAAGAAAGGAACTTTGGCATCAATACACGCATTTTGGAGCATTGGAAACACCAAGGACTCCACAAGAAACGCTTCCTTTTGTGTAGAGTGGAGTTCACCAATCTTTCTGGCTTTGTGGACCGGCCGGGGTGGGGGAGGAGGGTGGGGACGGTTCTGCATGAGTGCCGGACAAGCGTGTGCAGCTCCATTTGTGCGAGTGTAACCCGGGTGTACCTACCAACGGAGGACAAAGGAGGCTGTCCTGGGTTCAAGTTGCAGGCCGCTGCGACAGAGTCCACGCTGAAGAACGGACTGAAAGAGAAGGGAGGAAGAACATCCGTGCATGAGATGGCAAACACGGACGGTCTGACCCCACGTATTCTAAGACCCCCCCGGATGGGTGCCGCCTCCCTGCCCCGCTGTCCTGCAACTCACTTTGCAAGCTGATGGTTGTGGCGACGGCAACAGGCCTCCAGGCTTCCATTACGGAGAAAGCCCGGGTTCAAAGAGAGGTTGACCTCCTGGGCCGCGATGCCTGTAGTGGACATGGCCTGTGTGGACAATGCTCGGCCTTGTCAGGTTTTCAAAAGGAATCCATGGTTTTCAGCGACCACCTTGACTCCTTGGAGAGAGGAGAAAGAGGGAAGCGTCAGAATTGCCCCAGGGTCAGAGGGCAATCAATCAATCAAACAATCAATCAAGAACAGAGCTGGCTTCCCCGTTGACTTTGCTTGTCAGATTGCAAAAGGAGATCACGTGATCCCGGGGCACTGCAACTGTCATAAATACGAATCAATTGCCCAGCGTCTGAATGTTGATCACGTGACCACAATGGATGCTGCAACGGTCGTAAGTGTGAAAAACGGTCCTAAGTCCCTTCTTTCAGTGCCCTTAATTTCAAACGGTCACTAAACAAACCACTGTTAAGTCGAGGACTACCTGTATAATGACCGCAATTCTCTCCAAGTTTCAGGCTTTTTTTCCCCCTTTCCCTAAAAAAATAAAATAAAATAATCTCCACGCTATCTACTCCCTCCTGGCCTCAGTTTCCCAAAGGGGAACCTCCATTTAATAATAATAATAATAATAATAATAATAAAAAGAAGAAGAAGAAGAAGAAGAAGAAGATAATAATTTGAATGTTCAGTTGACTGAGGTTCATGTCTAATGAATAAAAGATAATAAAAAGTGGGAAGGGACCTTGGAGGTCATCTAGTCCAACCCCCGTGCTCAGGCAGGGAACCCGACACCATTTTCTCTCCTGGCGTGTGGGAGAAAGCCGGGCTAGGGAAGGAAATTGGTCGTAGCGCCCTTCCTGTCGAGAGAAACACCCCTTGCGCCTAATGACAACCTGAAAGGTGTGTTATTAATGAAAGGAAGTCAAGCCCCAACCGAGGGATGGAAGAGATTCTCCTGCCCAGGGAAGGGAGGGTGATGCCCAAGAGGAAACTGAGTCACACACCCCGGGGGAAAAGACGGATGGGGCACCTGAGCAAGGCCACTTCTGCCTTGACCGGTCCACTGGGGAGCCGGGAGGGAACAGCACCCCAAGGCAGGACAAGGGGCGACGGAGGGAGGCTAACCAAGGAGCGAAGCAGCTTGGAATTAAGGAGAGATTTCCTGGCTGTCAGGACGATTAACCAGTGGGACGGCTTGCCACCAGAAGTTGTGGGTGCTCCATCACTGGAGGTTTTTGAGAAGATATTGGACAGCCCTTTGTCTGAGGTGGTCTCGGGTCATCTGCTTGAACAGGGGGGGGGTGGACTAGAAGACCTCCAAGGTCCCTTCCAACTCTGGTCTCATTGATTGATTGAAATGGTACAAGGTGTCCTGCTTGAGCAGGGAGTTGGACTAGAAGACCTCCGAAGTCCCTTCCAGCTATATTCTGATTAAAATAGTATAGGGTCTCCTGCTTGAGCAGGGGGTTGGACTAGAAGACCTCCAAGGTCCCTTCCAGCTATATTCTGATTGAAATAGTATAGGGTTTCCTGCTTGAGCAGGGGGTTGGACTAGAAGACCTCCGAGGTCCCTTCCAGCTCTTATTCTGCCTGTCTCTTGCTAGGCCTTCTTACTAAGCCCACTTAAGACCTCTGAACCCCGAAAGAGACACACCAAAACTGCTTTCACTGCCACTGTGGCAAGCACACAATCCAAAGCGAAAGGCCCTAATTTGCAAACCCCATCCTCTCCCCACTGGGCCTGCCCTGACAGAATCAATCTGGGGCAGGGGGAGGCAATGATGGTGACCCCTCCCAGCCCTGGGCTCTCCATCAAGCCCACCTCCCCGGGGTTGTCCGGGGAGGGGAGGGGTCTGCAGAGAGAGAGAGAGAGAGAGGGAGGCGCAGCGTTCGAGGCAGAAGCCCCGCCCCCTTGCTCTCCTTCAGTAACCTAGTTTTGCCTACTCAGCCACCAACTATCGGGAGTAAATCTCCAGAGGTGGGTGGGGTACATGGCTGCCAACCGAGTCACCCGCCCGGCTGGCTGCTCTTCCCAGTTTAACCACTGCCTGACATCACTTCCTCCGCCTTTACACGCCTGCGAGAGGAGGAGCAGGAGGAGGAGGAGGAGAAGGGCTCCCGGCTTGCCCAGCGCCCATCGGAAGCCACTCCCAGGTTACTACAGGTCTCCACCAGAGCCTGGAGGGGGGGAAACTCGACACACTGAGGGCAGGTGGGCAAGCCTCTTAAGCCAGCTTCCTTCCTTCCTTCCTTCCTGGGCAACTGGCTGGATTCACCAGGATGCGGTCATTATTTTTCCCTTTTGGGGATGCCAGGAAATCGGAGTCCGTGCCAAGCGGGCATTCCGATTCCTTGACCAAGCTGCCAATTTGCAGCAGGGTTTTTTCTTTTTTTAACGAGGGCTCCTGCCCACTTTGTTTACGGAGGGTTCCCCCCCCTCCTGATCTCCTCTGTCAATCAAGCTGGCTCTTTGCCTTTGGAAAGGGGAAGGAGACACGGTGGGCGCCTTGAACCCCACTCCCTTCTAGCACTGATGATGTTCCCTAGTTGGGTCACGAAACGTCTGCAAGGAAATAACCCAGCTCAGAGAGCACCAAGGACCCCATAGACTCTCCTCCTCCTGTTCATCCTTCTCTCCTCCTCCTCCTCCTCTTTGCAAACCCCTCTCCTTTCTAGCACTGATGATGTTCCCTAGTTGGGTTATGAAACGTCTGCAAGGAAACCACCCCGCTCAGAGTGCGCCAAGGGCCTCTCAAAATTAGACTGCTGGTAAAAACCAAACATTTACCAGTTGAAGGCAGGGTGCCTCGTGTTCTCCCTCCATCTATTAGTCCACTTAACAACCCTCTGAGGTAGGCTGGACCGAAAGAACCATTAGCTCAAAGTCCTCTGGCTTTTCCCAACTTTAGTCTGATTCAAGGGCTGCAAAAGACTTTAGACCTCTTTAAAAATCTGCTCCGTTTTCATTTCTGAGTTAAAATGATTCACCAATATACACAGCTAGCCTTTTGCCACTGCACTGAACTGTAAAATATATTAAAAATATTTTTTTTGCAGCTGTCAATAAGATAGAGAGCTGGGGGGTGACTCAGAGATGACTCTTCCTCAGTGCCCCCCCCAATGTCCCTCCCAATGTAAAAATACTGGAATTTCATAGCAAGATGACTAGACTATACAATCACAGGATGTTATGGTTATGGTCATCAGCACTTCTACGTGCTCAGCCAGAGGAAGATTTGGTGAAGGGTCAGGAACTAATCAGAATCAAAACAGAGCTGGAAGGGACCTTGGAGGTCTTCTAGTCCAACCCCCTGCTCAAGCAGGAGACCCTATGCCATTTCAATCAATCAGTCAATCAATCAATCAATCAGAATAAAGCTGGAAAGGACCTCAGAGGTCTTCTAGTCCACCCTCTGCTCAAGCAGAGATACTAGACCGTTTCAGACAAATGGCTGTCCAGTCTCTTCTTATAACCCTCCGGTAATGAAGCACCCACAACTTCTGGTGGCAAGCTGTTCCACTGGTTAATTTTTCAAGAAATTCCTACTCCCTTCTTTGCCATCAAAGCAGATTATGGGGAGCTAAGATTGGCTCTGCCAGCCCCCCCCCCCAGCTGCAAACTCCCAGGCCAGAAGTAATAGGCTTTTTTCAAGAAATAAGCTAAATAATCTACCAGCATTAAGCCCCTTTCTTAGTGAGTAATGAAGTTATTTTTCCTGTTTTTTTTTCCTCTTCCCAGACACTCTTCTGTTCCCTCACAGTTATCCAGTGGGCACAGCCGTCACTCTGCCTAGCAAGGCATCACGGAAGCCCAAGGGTGGAGGGGGAAAGTGGATCACAATTGTCTGGCGTGAACCAACTCAAGCCCATCTCAACATCCACACCAACGTCAACAAAGAGGTTGTGGCTGCTCCATCCCTGGAGGCTTTTAAGAAGAGACCGGACAGCCACTTGTCTGCAAGGGACTAAGGTCTCCTGCTTGAGCAGGGGGTTGGGCTAGATGACCTCCGAGGTCCCTTCCCACTCTGTTATTCTGTACTTCTATCTATCTATGTACTGTATATAACTAGATCAGCAAAGGAGATCCATTGCCCCAAATTCTCAAGGCACTCGCTGCTCACCCTTCCAGCCAAACCTTCGCGGTGCAAATGTTAGCGTTGCCTCGGAAGCCCAAAATTTGGGAAGGATCCCCAAATCTCTCCCATTGGCTTGTTGGCTTCAGCCTACAGCAAAAAAAAAAAAAAAAAATCAAATCAAGCTTGCACATTCACTGGCCCCCTGGTTCTTGCCCGACACGGGAAAAGCTGCCCCCATGCATCCTATTAAGGGTCCCTAGAAAACCTTTCCTCGCTTTTCTGCACAAAGTTGGATAATTCAATGGCTCAAAACGGCAGAAAGCCACTGATGGATGTCACAAAATTCTGGGCCGTTTTTTGAGCTGTTTGGTCCTCTACATTTGAAGCATTCAAGGAAAACCAGGCCTGTTGCCGAACCTGGTTTTGGAGGAAGCCAAAGAACAGCAGAGAGCTTTTGAGTCGGGAACTGATCAGGTTCAGAATAGAGCTGGAAGGGACACCTTGGAGGTCATCCAGTCCAACCCACTGCTCAAGCAGTAGACCCTAGACCATTTCAATCAATCAAGCAAGCAAGCAGAATAAGAGCTGGAAGGGACCTTGGAGGTCTTCTAGTCCAACCCCCTGCTCAAGCAGGAGACCCAATCTAGACCATTTCAATCAATCCATCAGAATAGAGCTGGAAGGGACCTTGGAGGTCTTCTAGTCCAACCCCCTGCTGAAGGTAGGAGACTCTATACCATTCTAGACCAATAGCTGTCCAGTCTCTTCTTTAAAATCTCCAGTGATGGAGCATACACAAATTCTGTCTAGAGGCCAGTTGTTCCACTGGTTAATTTTTCTGTTAGGAAGTTTCTCCTTAATTCCAGGTTGCTTCTCTCCTTGATTAGTTTCCATCCGTTGTTTCTTGTCCTGCCTTAGTTGGTTTGAAAAATAGTCTCATGTTTGGGGCAGCCCCCCCAATACTGGAAGACTGCTATCATGTCCCCCCCCCCAGTCCTTCTTTTCTCTAGACTGGACATACCCAGTTCCCGCAACCGTTCTTCCTATGTTTTAGTCTCCAGGCCTTTAACCATCTTAGTTACTCTTCTCTGCACTTATTTTTGGTAATGGGGTGACCCAAAACCGGATGCAGGATTCCAGTTGTGGCCTCACTAAGGTTTTACAAAGAGACTAAGAATTAGGGTTTATTGCTAGCAGCCCAATTTCTCCAGAGGAGCTGGCTGTGGCCTACTCCATCCGGCTCCCCTTTATTTGCAGGTCTTTATCTACCTTCCTGAAAGGATTTTGCAGGGAGAAACCAGGTAATTAACATATATGAATATCAACAAACCACAGCCACCAGCAAGCTAAGATTAAGCACTTCCGGAACATCCTTTCCAAGGTCCACGGAAGAGCCTGGAGGAGCGAACACCACCACCCAATCCTAATTCGGGAGGAAGGGACAGCCCTACCTCACCTAACCACCAAATCCAGTTTGAAGACACCGGTGTGTGTTGCTGGCCTGCACACAACCGCAACTCTAGGATGGGATTTCGTTGCACAAGTCGTCCTCGCCTTACGACGGCAGGGATCTGCTTAATAACTCTAGCCCCCCCCAAAAAAAGGTTTTGAAATCCATCGATCAAAGTAGAGCTGGAAGGGACCTTGGAGGTCTTCTAGTCCAGCCCCCTGCTCAAGCTGGAGACCCTACACCATTTCAGACAAATGACTGTCCAGTCTCTTCTTCAACACCTCCACGGATGGAGGACCCACAATCTCCAGAAGCAATCAGGCAAACCCCTTAAAAAAAAAAAATCTCCCTGCGTAACCCCATAAATTCAGTTGGCAATTGTGGTGGCAATTCGGGGACCCCCCTAAATATTGCAAGTCGCAGACCATCCTTGGCAACCGATCCCATCCAGGGGTGCCTTCTGCGCCCGCCGTCTCCCCCCACTGCCGTTCCGAAGACCTCCCTCCTGCCATCATTACTGACGGGCACTAACCCGAAGAACAAACGGCCTCCTTGGCGACCCCTTTTTGTAGACAACAGCACAATCGGTTGTGCTCCCTTGCAGCACGACAAATGCACAAATGCCATCCTTGGGCAAGGGAGGTGGGCCAATGCCTCAAAGCAAGGCCCAGGTACCAGATGCAAACATCTGCATCCCCAGCGGGCTGAACGATCCTGGCCCAGCGGCTGGCACCAGCGTTTCTAACACAGCAAGTCACACAAATGGCCCAATCATTGTTTGCTCGGAGGGGGTGGGGGTGGGGGCTGTAACAGCTGCTCCTTCAGGCTTGCAAGCCATCTCCTGAAAGGATAACAGGAGCACAGGGCTGGAAGGGACCTTGGAGGTCATCCAGTCCAACCCCCTGCTCAGGCAAGAGACCCCACACCATTCTGGACAAATGGCTGTCCAGCCTCTTCTTAAAAACCTGATGGAGCTTCTTGTCCCCCTTTCAGGTGCTTTGCATGATAGATGGGACCCCTCCTCATTGGGGCAGCCCCTCAAATATAGGAAGACTGCTATCCTGTCCCCCCCCCCAGTCCTTCTTTTCTCTAGACCGGCCATACCCCAATCCCTGCACCCAAAATGACCTTCAGGTCATTGAACCAAGAGGCTTTCGACCTGATCAACTGTTCTAATGGCAGGTAACTTCTCCAGGTTGCTTCCCCCCCCCCGCTGAGTTTCCACCTCCTGCTGCTGCTGCTTCTTCTCCAGGTGCTTTGGAGAAGAGCTGGACCCCCCTTCTTCTTTGGGGCACCCCCTTAGATCTGCAAGCCGGGCTGCCTTTAGAAGCCGGGAGCTGGAAGCAAGGAGGGGGGGGGGCTAGGAAGAGGGTCACCTCCTTAGCACAGCCCATCCAGGTAGAGGCTTCCTGGCAGCCCCCCCCCGGAGGGGTGGGGGGGGAGGGCAGCACAGCCTGGCCAGACCGCCCTGTCGGGAGCGGGGGGGGGGGAGGCGGCTCAAGCGCTGCCGAGCTATGAGCTCACCTTCCTGCCCCCGGGCGGTCTCCTAGCAACCGGGCTCGCCCTACCTGTGCTGCAGGTGCACGGCCGTCGCCTCCCCGCCGCGCTTGCAAGGACGATGACTAAGCCTTGATTCACCAGCCCGATTCGGAGCAGGGAGGTGCAGGGAGCCCGGGATCCTGCAAGCGGGGCCGGAAGAGACCCGGCAGCCGGGTCCCCACCCGCCCCGGTCGAGCGGAGGGGGCCCTCCGGAGCCCCCAGACCCAATTCCCACGCGCAGGGAGCCCCGCAGACGAGCAGCAGCAGCGGCGCCCGCCCTCCCTCCCTCCCTGCCCGCAGCGCGCTCCCCTCCGCCCGCCCTTTCCCCGCGACTCACCTAGAGGGCGCCCGCGAGCCCCGCTTTGCACGACCCCCGGCTCTCTCCGCGGCAGCGCCGGCGTCGCTCTGAGCCTCAGCCCGGGCGAGCGCGCTTTTAAAGCGGAGGGCGGGGCTGGCGGGGGGCGGGGCGCCCTTGGCCGTTCCGCCCTCTTAAAGCGGCCACGGCTCTCGGAGGGGCCAACGGCTTCTTCTCGCCGTCGTAAAGCGGCCTCGCTCCTTCCCGTTGCTAAACGGGACCTTTCTCAAGAGGGTTGGGTCCCGCTCGACGTCCTGCCCGAAAATTGCCCGTCGGGAAGCGGGACGAAACCAGTCGAGGGGCCGTCGACCCGTTTTGCGATCTGCCTGGCCACCGTTGTTGAGCGAATCACTGCCGTCCTTAAATGAATACATTTCAATTACTTGATGCATTCATTAATGACGTGTTGTTCTCAGCCACTAAGACTGGGCTGGACACAAAACAGCCAGGAATACGCCATAAAATGAGGACCACGAATGCTCTGGGTGGGGGTGGGGGGCAGTTCGACTTTCCAGAAAAGTTGCTTAGAAACGTGGCCTAAAAGAGACGAACCTTTCTTGATTTCTGAACAGGGTCTCTGAAAAGGCTTGGTTCTGACCCCCTTCCCCGTTTAGCAGGCAGGCAGAAACCAAAATTGAGAGAATCGATTATTTTCCCATCATTTGCGACTGAATTCCCAACGGTTCCCATTTGGACAAACGTGGAAAGAATGGATAGAAAAAGACGTTTCCAGGTTCTTCGATGTCACATCATCGATCTTTCTTTCACATGCCTAATCAGTGGAAATATGCAGACCCTCTCTCTTAATTTGATTTGACACGGAAACACACAGACAATTGCGGAATAGCCGAAGAAATAACCTATCAATTTTCATGCCAGGCACATTTTTTCCAACTGTTACCCATTTCGGCTGCTTAATTCAGAACAAAAGCGGAGCCTCAACAGATACCGTAAATCAGAGACTCTGAATCAAAGGCAGACAAATGGCACATAACTGACAGACCAGCATGTCTCATTCCAGTATCCCAACATTAACTGTGGGAGCTGTCCCACCCTGAGGAAGGCATGAGTTTTGTGATGGGTTTTTCAAACGTCAATTAAAAACTCGCCACAGCTGATTTGCCACGGCCGGACTCGCCGTGGGACGATGACAATTGTTCAATTTAATTCTTGTAAGATCGTTAAGACATTATTCTGATTTTTGTCCTTCACGTTTCGTTTGGTCTTTCCTGGGGCATCGTTGCTTTGCTGATTCTTTCTTCGAAACGAGTGGGACCCGTGTCCCGCGGTGAGGTTTCCCCTGGTGATTTGGCCGTGGTGAATTGTCCCGTGGCGAGATGGTGAGGTGGCTGCAGGGAGGTGGCCATGTCAAGTTGGTTACGGTGAGTTGTCGTGGCTGCGGAAAGTTGGCTGCGGTGAACTGCTGTCACGAGTGGGTTATGGTGAGTTGTCGTGGCGGTGATGAGTTGCTGTGGCTGTGGCAAATTGTCCGTGGCAAGTTGTGGTAGACAGAATGCATCTCTCCCTGTCCAGATCAGCAGACCACAGTCGGATTCCCACCCCCCACCCCCCGTTGCTGGCAACTTTGCTCAACTGAGAAAGATTTGGAAACTAAGAAACCGAGAAAGACTCAGGACCTTCCATGGCTCTTCCTCTCTTTGGTTGCCCAGAAAACAATCAGATTGCCTGCCAGATTCTTTGCTCTTTTGGCTGCCACACAGTGGGCCTCCCCCCCCCCCAGTCCCTTGCTTGAATTCACCGTCAGCCTTTAACAATATCTCCACTGGGCGCTTTTAATGGGTCCAAACAGCTCTTTGAAAGCTTCCTTGGTGCATACTGATGGGGAGAGAAGCCAGCTTTAAACCCAGGACAATGGTTCTTTGGCTCGATCTAGTCACAGCAAGCCCTGGGCCTCCCTCAGCCTGGCATGATTTGCTCCTGGTTCAAAAACCTCCACTAGGGGCTTGTAGGATTGACATCGAGGCAGGCGCTCCTCTCTCCAGAGGTGGGATTCAGATAGGTGAACAACCGGTTCTCTGTGTGGATGCCGCTTCCGGAAGTCCGTTCTGGGCCTGGGCCCGAAAAAAATTAGCGACCGGTTCTGCCAAAGTGGTGCAAACTGAATTGGCCGTGGTGTTGCGTTGAAATAGAGCAGGGGTCTTCCAACTTGGCCCTTTGATGACTGGTGGACTTCAACTCCCAGAATTCCTCAGCCAGGCACGTGTGGTATATAAGCGGTATATAAGTCTCATAAATAAATAAATAAATAGAGCATTCATGTATTTTGTGCAACGATTTCGGTAGAGATAGATAGATAGATAGATAGATAGATAGATAGATAGATAGATAGATAGATAGATAGATTCTTCTGCCAGTAGATGGCAGCGTTTATAAGCCTGTAGTTGCATCGACGGTATAGCCGTAGTCCTCGACTTATTGGCTTTACTTAACAACTGGGTGGCTGATTTGACAGCTGCCGTGATTCCCTTAACCACAGTGGCAAGAAAAGTCGTAAATGAGGGGCCAAACTATCTCGCTTAACAACAGAAAAATTGGGTCATAAGTTGAGAATAGGATATTCAAGCTCCTTCCCACCCAGAGGATCATGTCTGGTTTAATGAAAAAAAAAGGACTTGGGGTGATATGGTAGCACTGTCCTATTTTTGAGGGGCTGCCCCAAAGAAAATGGGGTCCCAATAAGAAGCAACGGATGGGAACTAATCAAGGAGCGAAGCAGCCTAAAACAAAGGAGAAACTTCCTGACAGTGAGGACAATTAACCAGTGGAACAGCTGGCCACCAGAAATTGTGAATGCTCCAACCCTGGAGGTTTTCAAGAAGAGACTGGGCAGCACAGTATAGTGTTTCTTGCCTGAGCAGGGGGTTGGACTAGATGACCTCCAAGGTCCCTTCCAACTCTGTTATTCTGCTCTATTGTCCTGTGGCTTTCTCTACAACTTTGCAAGGAAGGTTGGGGCTACGGGAAAGGAACCCCCTCTACTTTAGTGGAGGTGCCTTATGGGTTACTTTTTCCCCCAGGTCACTAACTGCAGGACGTTTTCCATCTGTTTTCAGACCCTGAACAGCTTGTTCTACACAGGTCCTGTGCCAGGGGGCTGAATGTGGACTTAAGCAAAGAAAAAAAAAATCCAGATATTTGTCATAGCTTAATTGCAAATACAACCTATGACCCATTGACACACACCCCGCCCCCCCGCCCCCAAAATTGCACTGCTGATGACAGATATCAGGAAATTGACTCGATTCAAAGATACACGGAAAAACAAAAACAAAAAAAAATTAACCGGAATGTTCTTTGCTTGTTTCCAAGAATATTGTTTCTTTGGAATATTATCTGGTTTGGCCCGATGGCTGGATCGGAATGTGCAATGGGGCAAAGTTGTTTTTTGGGTAGATAGATAAACTGATGCTATTGGCAACATCTGGGATGGGTTTAAAGCAGTGTTTTCTTTCCTTATCCCAAATCAATTATCAGGAAGTCTTGTTGAACTTCAAGGACTGCTCAAAACTCTCTTCCTCCAATCACCAGTGTAACTTTGAACGGTCAATGAATAAATAGTTATAACTCTCTATTTCTCTCTCTCTCTCTCTCACCTATTTATCTATCTACCCATCCATCCATCTATCAATCATCTGTTGTCTGTCTATCTATCTATCTATCTATCTCCCTACCTACCTACTTACCTACCTACCTATGAATTTATCAATGAATCTATTTATCATCTATCAATCACCTATCTATGAATCTATTTATCTATGAATCTATCTATCTATCTATCTATCTATCTATCTATCTATCTATCTATCTATCTCATTATCTATCAATTATCTATTGATAAGATTGGATGACCATTTGTCTGAAGTGGTATAGGCCAGGGTTTCCTGCCTGAGCAGGGGGTTGGACTAGAAGACCTCCAAGATCCCTTCCAACTCTGTCCTTCTATTCTACGCATTCTGTACACGGCTTGCTAAGTTGCTCCCTTTCAGACCGATGGGAGGGAACAGGCTGTTAGCATTTGGCACTCATTGCCTGTTTTGTGTCAGCGTGCCGTCGTTTCCGAAGCCATCAAAACCCAGAATATAGAAAATTGACTCTCAGCCTGGAACTACGTGAAGCAACTGACTCATTGAGCGCAGAGCAGCTTTCAGCAGAGAGAGAGAGAGAGAGAGAGAGAGAGAGAGAGAGAGAGAGAGAGAGGTGGGGAGGAACTTGAATTACTCAAATGCAATACTAGGAAAGCCAAATGAATCACTTCCTATCCCGCAGTAGATTTAGTCATGCGTGGGAGCACATGGCTGCAATTTTCTAGCCAGCAAATTCTTTGCAAAACAGCCAAGAACATTTGTTACATAAGCCTGCCCAGACCAGCACCCAGTGTTCGTTTGACATGAGTATTTTCTTGGCAGCCTCTCGGTCTTCTGTTTACAGATTCGTTCCTCGTTCACACAACCTCTCTTTGGGAAGTCGCTGGTCTGTGGCACACAGGAAGTCTTCAGCATCAGGGAAATGCTCCTGCTGGAAAGGGGTCTAGGACAATTCGTCACGGACAACTTAATAATAATAATAATAATAAAGTTGGAAGGGACCTTGGAGGTCATCTAGTCCAACCCCCTGCTCAGGCAGGAGACCCCTATCCCATTTCAGACAAATGGCTTGTCCAGTCTGTTCTTTAAAACTTCCAGGCTTGGAGCACCCACAACTTCTGGTGGCAAGTTGTTCCACTGGCTAATTGTCCTCACTGTCAGGAAATTCCTCCTTCGTTCCAGTTTGCTTCTCTCCTTGATGAGTTTCCATCCGTTGCTTCTTGTCCTTCTTTTCTGGTGCTTTGGAGAATAGCTTGACTCCCTCTTCTTTGGGGCAGCCCCTGTGTGTGCTGCGGGAGAACTCGCAGCAGCACAAAAGGTCACCCCAATTTCAGAGAAAGGGTGGCATAGAATCATTAAAGGAAGGATGTAATTAATGTTTTATTTATTTCAAATAATGAAACTGAACGGTTAAATTGTCCCACGGCCGCCGGGAATCGGATGTCACTTGCCACAGCCAAGTTACAGCCGACCAGTTGGTCGTGGAAAAATTGGCCACGGGAAAATTTGACAATTTCATTTCATTATTTCAAATAATTGAAAGCACTCTTTCCATTTTTGGCTGTTCACATGTCGTTTTCTCCTTCCTTCTGCATCCTTCCTTTAAGGATTCTATTTCACCAATAGATTTTTTTCACACTGTTGCACCCCCCCCCCATGGTCACATGATCAAAATTCAGACCCTTGGCCACTGACTCGGATTTCTGACCCGGATTTCTGACGGTTGCAGTGTCCCCGGGTCATGCGATTCCCCCGTTTTGCGACTGTCTGACAGTGAGGAAGTCAGCTCCACTTAGCAATTGTGCTGCTAACTTCAGAACTTCCGTGCGTCGCCTACGAACAGGGGCAAGCGAGGTCGTAAAATGGAGCGAAACTCACAGAAATTATGAACGCGTGGTTAGGCTCATCATTCTCCAATATCAGCGTCAAAATTCGCAGAAATAGGAAAATAAGAAGAACCGGTATTTTTAAGCAGAGGAAAAACAATAAAAGTTTGGGCTGATATTTATTTCTTGCTGCAGGTTTTAAGGAAGGGATCAAATGCTTTGATTCCTTGGTTAAAACATCTGCTCAAATTTGCAGTAAGAAATAAACGTCAGCCAAAATTTACTGTTTTGCAAGGAGACCCTTCCTTCTATAAAACTTTCCATTTTTGCACCCCAACGTGCAAGGAGACCCCCCCCCCAGTTCAGCTACTGTTGCTCAAAGACGGCAGTAGCCTCTCCAGGAATGTCATTGTTATTATCCAGAGACGTGCCAAACAAACAAACTGCACAAAGGATTTGCCTGCAGAATAAAATTAATATTTTGATGATTATTTTTTTTAATCATCTTATTGGGCCAGTGCCAAGTTGTGGGTGGCTTGAAAGCGAGTGGAGACTTGAATCCTGCTGCCTGCTTCTTTTCCCTTCATTAAACTGGAATCCCAGTTTTTTTTCTCTCTCTCTCTCTCCCCCCACCTGTCCTAGAAATTATACAGGAAGTCCTTGATTTACAACCTTTTCGTTTAGTGACCGTTCAAAGTTATGATGGCACTAAAAAAAAAGGGGACCCTTTTTCACACTTAACACCCATTGCAGCATCCCAGTGGTCACGGGATCAAAATTCAGACGCTCGGCCACGGACTCATATTTACGGCGGTTGCAGTGTCCTGGGGTCACATGATCCTCTTTTGCAACCTTCTGACCAGCAAATGCCAGTCAGGTTTTAAAGAAGAGACTGGACAGCCATTTGTCTGAAATGGTATAGAGCAGCGGTTCTCAACCTTTTTAATGCCGCGACCCCCAACTGGTCGTAAGTCGAGGACTACTCAACTGGTGCAGCACCGTTTGCAGACTGGGACTTTTGGCAGGCTCAGCAGGGCAGAGACAGCCTGGATAATTCCTACTGGCTTTTGAAAGCCAATAGAATTAGACTCTATTCAAGAGAGTCTATTCTATTGGCTTTCAAAAGCCAATAGAATAAAAGGGAGTAGCACAGCTAAGGAAAAGGGGGGAAAAATGGCAGACTGCGCTGTTTGGCAACCCCCATGAAATGGTCGTTCCACCCCAAATAGGGTTCCGACCCACAGGTTGAGAACCACTGGTATAGAGTTTCCTGCCTGAGCAGGGGGCTGGACTAAATGACCTCCAAGGTCCCTTCCAGCTCTATTCTATTCTATTCTATTCTATTCTATTCTATTCTATTCTATTCTATTCTATTCTATGGTTGGTCGGTCAAAATGGTCTAGGGTCTCCTGTTTGAGCAGGGGGCTGGACTAGAAGACCTCCAAGGTCCCTCCCAGCTGTATTCTGATTGATTGGTTGAAGCTCCAAGCCTTTCTGCTGAGGGTTGAGGACGGATCCTTCCTCCTTCTCCATATAAGGGACTGCCTGCTGCTTAGGAGCTACTGGTTCAGCCTCCCGGCACATTAATTCCCCCCTTCGCCCCCCCCCATGACGCAGGTCTCCCATCCATTTTCTCCCCTTTCCCTGCAGCCCCTAGGCCAGGGTGGGGCTGAACGGAGCCAGGGGCCATGGCTCCTTAATTTTAACAAGGTTTATTTTCGAGTCAGAAGCTTGGTGATCCCTGCCAAAATTCCCCACTGGCTTCAGCGTTGAGTCACATCCTAACAGCCATTCTTTTCGCTCTGATGCCACTTGTGTGAATGTCAGTTCACTTCTGAGTCACTCCGGAGCAGCGAAGATTTGCAGGTTAGGTTGCAAGACGCGAGAGGAGAGAGTAATGCCTTTTTCTCTTCCCATTTTTTTTGGCTCCCCTTTATCCAAACCAACGGACTTGGGAGCAGGGAGCGCTGATGGAACGAAGCTCTCTGCTCTTGTGGCCGGTTCTGAAATTGGCAAAAGCATTAAGATGGGGACATCTTCAAACTGTTTCGAGAGAGTGGGCCGTGACAGCGCCCTTAATTTCGCTGTGAGCAGTTTTATATCCAATTCTGTTTTTTTTTTTTTAATACTGTTCCCATCTTTCCTTAAAACATGAACAGAAACCCCCATGGGTTGAGAATCTGTGTCTCCACTAGATAGAATAGAATAGAATAGAATAGAATAGAATAGAATAGAATAGAATAAGAAATGGCAGATGCAATTTGCCAGTTAGACTAGCCATCGCTTAGAGAGGCCCATGTAAATATGATGAAACATTCCTGGAAGAAGGAGGAGGAGGAGGGGGGGAGGAGGAGGAGGAGGAGGAGGAGGAGGAGGAGGAGGAGGAGGAGGAGGAGAAGAAGAAGAAGAAGAAGAAGAAGAAGAAGAAGAAGAAGAAGAAGAAGAAGAAGAAGAAGAAGAAGAAGAAGAAGAAGAAAAGAGAGGAGGAGAGAGATGGAGGAGAAGAAGAGAGATGGAGGAGAAAGAAGGATGACGAGAAGGAGGAGGAGGAGAAGAAGAAGAAGAAGAAGAAGCATCCACACACACAACTTTGTTTAGACTTTAGTTTCACGTGGCTGAGGATCTAAATCAAATTAAACACGTTTGTTTGTTGAATGATTCAGAGTCTGCAAATTACGCCTGAGAGCTAATCAGTAATCGAGTTAGTCGTATTGACGGACACGGCGCTTGCTCACACGTAGCACAATCTGGGCGATAGGGCTGCTAAGATCTTATCTAAAGTAAACCTGGCCTTTCAAAATAAGAACGAGGACAGAAGCCGCGTTGCCGAAATTGTGGCCACGCTCGCCTTCAAGGGCTGCTCCACACGGATGGCTTTGCAGTAGTCCAGTCGAGGTTGCTGACGAAGGAAGGAGTGGGGAAATTAGAGGACAAGGACAGGGCAGAATGACAGAAAGACAGAGTTGGAAGGGACCATGGAGGTCTTCTAGTCCAGCCCCCTCTCAAGCAGGAGACACTTTCATGCAGAATAAGAGAGCTGGAAGGGACCTTGGAGGTCTTCTAGTCCAACCCCTTCCTCAAGCAGGAGACATAATTTGAAAATGCAACTCAGGCTTGACCCTCCAAGATTCTGTTCCTATAATCCTATCCCTGGTAGGCTGTTTTCTTTTATATTTCATTTCATTTCAGCGTAGCATAACTTGGTTTTATCCACATTATAAGAATCAGAAAAACTTAATTCTTCGGTTTATTCATCAGTGGAATAAGCAGGTGAGCAATGAGCGGATCCCTTGCTATTTGCTGCCACCTAGTGGTAGAAAGCACAAATGGTTGATCCACAGTTGGAAAGCAGGATCCTCGAGTTATGACAACAACTGAGGCCAAAAGTTATGTTATTTAGTGATTTAAGTTGTAAAATGGTGGAAAACTTCCGGTGGGCCATTCTAGGCCCACCGGAAGTGCATGGATGCCACTTCCAGAAGTCCGTTCTAGGCCTCAGAGCCCTGGAGGAGGCCTCCCAGGCCTAGAACAGCCCGCTGGAAGTGCGTGGATGCCACTTCTGGAAGTCCGTTCTAGGCCTCAGAGGCCCAGGCCTGCAACCATGCAGAGAACTGGTTGTTCAGATATTTGAATCCCACCACTGGTTGTAGCCCTGGGACTTTAAAGCGATGCGAGAAGGGTCTGGGTGTCTCATAAACCGCGGACGAAGTCGGCCACCTTCTCCAGGATCTCCACCCCTGCGGGAAACTGGATGAGACTCAATTGGCAGAGATTGATGATCCCGTGGAAGCCTTGCTCGGCGTGGAACCAGGTGACCTTCACTCCGTTCTCCTCCAGCCGCTTCTTGTACAACAGAGAGTCGTCCCGAAACACGTCGTACTCGCAACTCACAATAAAAGTCTCCGGGAACTGTCTCAAGATAGCATCTTCGACAAACAGCGACGAAAAGGTAGTCTGGAGGAGAAATGGCACTTGCTTGTGGACCTCCGGCTTGAACGGACCCAACGGGCGTCTCTCATACTTGCGGCGTTTAAATTTCTCCGGGATGTTGTCCAGACTGAGCCACTTTTCGCATTTCTGCCGAAAGGCATCTGGCACATGAGAGCCCTTCAGGATATCGTCGACCAGCGAGGAATCTTTCAAGAAGTACTTCAGTCCATAGTACACCACGCTGTCCTGGAACAAGATTGGAACCGCCGCGTTCTGCTGGTACGACGGGAGGTTGAAGTCCAGCGCTTGGAGTCCGGGGTAGATGAGGACCTGAGCGCGAAGCTTGGGGAGATCCGGGCGTCCGAGAAGTTCTTGTGAGATTACGGTGGCGAAGTTGCCTCCTGCGCTGTCCCCCCCGATGGCAATCTGGGAAGGGTCAACGCCGTGCTCCTCGGCGTGTTTCATGAAGTGCACGGTGGCGGCCAAACAGTCCTTCCACTGAGTGGGGAAGGCGTGCTCCGGGGACAAGCGGTAGCTGCAAAGTCACCAGGCAAAGAGTTAAAGGCAGAATAATTGGCAGGTGAGGGTCAAACTGGGGAGGGGTCCTTGGTGGTCCCTGAGTTTGGCCGTTTTACCTGCAGATGTTGTATGGAGGTATATAAACAGAGAGCAAACCCCTCTCCCTTCTAGCACTGATGATGTTCCCTAGTTGGGCTATGAAACGTCTGCAAGAAAACCACCAAGCTCAGAGAACACAAAAGACCCCACAATCTTCCTCCTCCTCCCCCCCTCCTCCTCCTCCTCCTCTTTTCCCCCTCCTCCTCTTCTTCCCTCCTCCACCTCTCTGCAAACCCCACTCCCTTCTAGCACTGATGATGTTCCCTGTTTGGGTCGTGAAACGTCTGCAAGAAAACCACCAGGCTCAGAGAGCACCAAGGACTCCACAGTCCTCCTCCTCCTCCTCCTCCCCCTCCCCCCACAAACTCAGTTCCCTTCTAGCACTGATGATCCACATTTCCTCTTGAGACATGAGCACATAGGTTTACATGGGATGAGCGTGGCGTGTCACTCACCCAACCACGACCACCACGGCTTCACTCTCCTTGGCAATTTTACTGGTGATGTCTTGGTAGTAACCTGGGGGGGGAGGGGGGATCAAGATTAATACAGAGGTAACCATCAAAGCCTTTGAACTGTACTGGTATGAAAGTCCCTCTGTCGACTTTGCCCGACACTGGAAGGCAACGAAATTACGATGTAGAGTTTTGATGATTAGAAGAAACAAAAAAACAGATTATACCGTAGACAAAATATAAAGGATGCCGTAACTATAGAGGAAGAAGCAGGTTTATATGGGTCATTGCTGCAAAGGAAAATGGAGAGACATTTCTTTAAATTGGCTTTGTTTTCTGCACCTTTGTGTCTTTTCCTTCCTTCCTTCCTTCCTTCCTTCCTTCCTTCCTTCCTTCCTTCCTTCCTTCCTTCCTTCCTTCCTTCCTTCCGTCCTTCCTTCCTCCTTCTGCGCCTCCGTTCCAAAGACAGGTTGTTCCACTGGTTAATTGTTCTGTCTAATTGTTCTAATTATCACCCGTCATTTTTCTCAGCCTCCAGATGGCTGCTGAGGGCATCGGAGGTTTTCAGCCACCCTTTGATTTGTTTACTTCTCTATTGATTTATTCAATTTCCCAAGCCAGCCCTCGGGCTGGGCCACTTACGGATGCTCCCGATCATGCCAGCTCCTCCGTGGTAGAAAACGAACCCTTTTCTCCGGCCAGCCCAGGAAGTTTTGGGGTAATAAACCCGGACCGGGATCTCATCAAAGACAAAATCTTTGGTGGAAACTCCTGGATGGATCTTAGATTTCTTCAAAGTGATCAGGAATCGGATGAAAACGACTTGCTTGCAAAGGCGCAGAATCTCCAAGGTCTTCCCCTGTTTTCCCCCCCCCCAAAAAACAGGAAATAGATCAGAAAGAAATTAGGGGAGCCTTTTTTCATTTTTGTTCACTTCTGCGGTTAAAAACTTGGTATATTTGGTTAGTGTCAATACAGGTGGCCCTCAGGTTACGACCACAATTGTTAAAGGAATCGTGCTATCATTGTTAAATGAATTGCGGAAGTTCTTAAGTTACACACACAGTTGTTAAGTGAATCTGGCTTTTTCCCACTGACTTGGCTTGTCCAAAGGTTGCAAAAGGGAATCACGTCTCTCTCTCTCTCTCACACACACACACACACACACACACACACACACACACACACACCCTCTGGGATACTGCGACCATCATAAACACGAGTCGGTTCCCGAGCATCTGAATTCGGATCGCGTGACCCTGGTGAGGCTGCAACGGTTTGTAACCACGAACCATTTCCCTAACCATAAACCTATCCGAGGAGCCAAAAAAACCAAAATCAAAGTTTAATTCTTATTTTTTTTTTCCTTCCGTTGCAAGCGCAAACTTCGGAAGCTCAGCGTAAACTTTTAAACCACGATAGACCTACCAGGGTGAAGATCATCACGATCCCCACGTGAAGGAGACGCAACTTAAACGGGTGGCGCAATCCCGACGGGATCTTGGTCCGCGTGAAATCGTAATAAATGCTCCAGGAGGTCAGCAATAAAATGGCCAGCCCTAGGGCAGCAACTCCGCCATAGAGAACGGCCAAAAGATACCCCATTTTGTTGGGAGATGGCCAAGCCAAGACGGAGACCACGAGTCAAGACGATGGAACTTCTTCAGAAGTTCTCCAGAATGCCTTCCTTCTCAAGCTGCTGGCTTGTTTGTGAAGTGATTCCTGGCTGCTGTGCACACCTCCACGTGCAGATGTCTCAATCCATGGGATAATTGTGCCCGAGGAAGGCGGTTTCCAACAGTGTTGGTTGGAATGTGGAAGTCACCCAGGTGCCTACTTTGATTGTAGGCCAGAAAATCGGGAGTCGTCCCCCCCGTGACTCAAAACTTCTCGTGCTCAATGTGCTCTGTGGGAGGCTGTGGAGGAAGACAAGATTCGGAGCCCAACAAGTGTTTCTTCCAACCTCTGTGGACTTCTAGGTTGTCCTCTTTCTGCCCATAAAAGCCAACGCATCCCTTGGCTGCATCAACCAGAGAGACAGCATCAAGACCACCAGAAGAAGGCCACCCCTTTATAGTGCGCTAGTGAGCCCAGACTTGGAATATTGCGTCCAGGTCTGGACAAGCAGAACGCGAAAAAGTTGTTGAGATCCTAGAAAGCGTGTGGAGAAGAGCAACGAAGATGATCTGGGGGGCTAAACTGTACAATGAACAGCTAATAGAAGACTGCCAAGGTCCCATCCAGCTCTATTCAGATTGATTGATTGAAAATGGTCTAGAGGCTCTAAAGGCTCTCCTGCTTGAGCAGTGGGTTGGACTAGAAGACCTTCAGGGTCCCTTCCAGCTCTATTTTGATTGATTGATTGATTCTCCTGCTTGAGCAGTGGGTTGGACTAGAAGACCTTCAGGGTCCCTTCCAGCTCTATTTTGATTGATTGATTGATTCTCCTGCTTGAGCAGGGGGTTGGACTAGAAGACCTTCAGGGTCCCTTCCAGCTCTATTTTGATTGATTGATTGATTCTCCTGTTTGAGCAGGGGGTTGGACTAGAAGACCCCTGAGGATTCTACTTGTAATTGATACATTTTTTTTCCTGATTGTGGCTGTATATTTCCATCTTTTGACCATTTTTTTTCCCCAAGGATGGTTCATATTTTGATAGTGAGTCTTTTTGCAATGAGTGTTTTTCTACCAGGGTTTTATTTAATTGCTGTCCGCACACCCAGAGTCACCTCTGCTTAGATAGGCAGACAGATAAATTTGATTAGTAAGTAAACAAATACTTGCCACCATTGTTAATCTTATCAGAGCATTCCTTCGCAAATCACAAGGGCGGATAGCTTTATTTGCCCAGCCCACTCAGGTCACACAAAAGTCTGGGAACATTTTTTTTATCTCCGAAATTGAGTGGTGGAGAGAAGTGAGCATACAGCTAGTCCTCGAGCTTACGGCAACGGTTTATGTCGTTAAGTGAGACACTGGTTAAGTGAATTTTCCCCATTTTCTTGCCTCAGTTGTTAAGGAAATCACTGCAGTCGATTAGTTAGTAGTTGTAAAGTGAATCTGGCTTTTTCCCCCCATTGACTTTGCTTGACAAAAGGTCGCAAAGGGAGATCCCGTGACACCCCCCCCCCACGCTGCGCCTGTCGTAAATATGAGTCAGTTGCCCAAGCAACCGAATGTCAATCCGGGGATGCGGAAATGATGGTGTAAGTGTGCCAAAAAAAAAAAAAAAGTCCCTTTTTTTCAGTGCCGTTTGTTGCAGCTTTGAACAGTCACTAAATGAAGGGTTGTAAAATAAAATAATAAAATAAAATAATAAAATAATATAATAAAATAAATGAACCATTGTAAAATAAAATAAAAGATAAAAGATAAAATAAAATAAAATAATGAAATAAAATAAATGAACCGCTGTAAAATAAAATAAATAAAATAAAATATAAAATATAAAATAATAATGAAATAAAATAAATGAACCGCTGTAAAATAAAATAAATAAAATAAATAATAAATAATAAAATAAAATAACAAATAAAACAAAATAACAAAACAAAATAAAAAAGAAAATAATAAAACAAAATAATAAAGTAAATACAAATAAAATAAAAGCTTTGCCTCTGCTAAAAAAAGGCCCTCCCTCTGCCACTGCTGCTTTCCTTTTCAAATTCCAGGTGAGCAGGTTCCCTTATCTACCTGCTTTGGATCCTGTTCAGGGTGCTAATCCTGCAATTTTAAGGGTTAGCGTCTCACCTCCTATCTGATAACTTCGCACCAAGTGGTGATTTCTGGATACAAACAGGATATCCGAGCCTCTCTTCCCAACACCCGGGCTGGTTCTGTTGCACGCCCATTTCCTTCTGAAGGAGGCTTTAACCCCGAGGATAGAAAAGCAGGAAGGGAAAAATATAATGGATTTGGCTGGCAATTTTCCTGACTCTTACACAACCGCCGTGTTCCGTGAAGTCAAAAATTGGCATTTGTAGGTTGGTGTGAACCTGGTCATCAGAAATAGCTCTTCTCCCCTCCAGACAGAGAGGCGGGCGGCATATAAATTTAACAATAATGATTGCTCTTTAAAATTCAGAGTAGCACCTGCCACCTAGCACCCCCCCTCCACAGACTGAACAATTGTCAGTAACCAATCAATCAATCAGAATAAGAGCTGGAAGGGACCTTGGAGGTCTTCTAGTCCAACCCCTTGCTCAAGGCAGGAGATCCTGCCTAGACCATTTGTGACAAAATGGCTGTCCGGTCTCTTCTTCACAACCTCCAGGGATGGCGCAGCCACAACGTCTGACAAAACAAACCTCTAGATAGTGGACATGGCAGACAACAGAAGGGGAAGAACTGGAGGAGCTAACAAAGAATAATAGAAACAGAACAACAGGTCTGGCAACACCCTGAATTCTTTCAGTGCAGCTTTTGACCCACAAATGCCTCGCAATCTTATTGTGCAACTTCTCGTCGAAAGGGAGAACACATCGGAAAAGCTGAAACTATTAAGATGGCCAAGAAACGCACTCTTAACACTTTATTTTTAATTTGAGGTTGCTTAAAACGAGAGCCAGTCTCTCTCTCTTTCTCTCCCTCTCTCTCCCTCCCTCTCAAATAATAGATATTGAAGCAAATGTGATATTTATTCATCTAATTTATACAGTTGCCCACCTTTGCAAACAAGAGACGAACTGTGATACGTTCACTTCCCTTTGCTGGCTAAACCATTGGCTGCCACTAGATGGCGCCCAAGGATTGTAAATTCAGGAAAAATCTGATCAGTTCTGTATTACTTCCTCGGAGTTGCAGCCAGCCAGGCCGGCAGGCAAGAAGGGAGGGTGGAACAGAAAGAGAGAAAGAAAAGAAGGAGGGAAGGAGGGAGGAAGGGAAGAACAGAGAGAGAAAAAGAGAAAGAGGGAGGGAGGGACGAACAGAAAGAAAAAGATAAAAGGAGGGAGGGAGGAAGGGAGAGAGAAAAAGAGAAAGAGGGAGGGAGGGACAAACAGAAAGAAAAAGAAAAAGGGAGGGAGGGAGGGAGGAAGGGAGGAAGAGAGAGAGAAAAAGAGAAAGAGGGAAGGAAGGAGGGAGAAAGGGAGGAAGGAAAGAAACATATGGAGTTGAATGTACAGTTTCCCAATTACCATGTGTGGTATGTATGTATTTATTTATATATGAAAGTTACGGGATTAAAAAATAACCTTACAACATGAAATATTAAAAAGTCATTTCTCTCCCCCCCCCCAATGGTTGGACATTGCCAAGTTGCAACTGAAAGCGACAGAAAACAGAGCAGACCAAAACAAGCTTGGAAAAACCACCGGCCAAAGTTAATCATTCATCTTTTAAAAGTTGACCTTCGAAAGCAATAACAATTAACCCAACCCTGTTGTGTTGCTGTCTTGTCTTAAGTCTGACTGTTCTTCCAGCGTGAGATTTGTTCCAGTCTGGTTCGCCCCAGAAATAAAATATACTTTTCTGGATTTCTTTTCGTACAGAGAATACGATACGGATTTCTGACCTACATATAATTTCAGAGCGTGGGTTTTTTGTTGTTGTTGGCTTTTTTTGAATAGTGCAAGCTGATTAATTTTTATAATGCGGGCAGTCCTTCGGTTATGATCACGAAGGAGCCTACTATTTCTAGCGTGACGCAAGACATCTGTTAAGTGAATTTTGCCCCATTTTACGACCTGTCTCGCCACGGTTTTTAAGCAAATCGCGGAAGTTCTTCATTTTAGTCACAGGGCTGTTCATCAAATCTGCCTTCCCCGTTGCAGGAGGTCGCAAAATAGGATCACGTTCTCCCAGGACACTGTGACCGTCGTAAATTTGAGTCAGCTGCCCAGATCACGTGACCGTGGGGATGCTACAAAGGGCATTAAGGGTGAAAAACGGTCCCTTTTTTCCTTGTAACTTTGGACGGTCACTTAACAAACTGTCGTTAAGTTTGTTGTAAGGAATGCTCCAACCCTGGAAGTTTTTAAGAAGAGATTGGACAGCCATTTGTCTGAAATGGTATATAGGGTTTCCTGCCTGAGCAGGGGGTTGGAGTAGATGACCTCCAAGGTCCCTTCCAACTCTATTATTATTATTATTATTATTATTGTTGTTGTTGTTGTTGTTATTGTTATTATTATAATTAAATAAGTCACGGGCTAGCAGTATCCCCCCCCCTTCACTTCCTAAATCTCCACCTTTTAACGTCTCACCATCTCATTTATAAATAAATTGTCCTGTTCAGGAAAAGATTTGATCATAAATGTTCCATCAGAAAAAAAAAAAACCCTGAAGATATTTCTCTCCCCTATTTATGTTATTTTCTGAGCACAACCTGCTGGGGTAAGTGTGCTGATGCGGTTAATTTTTTCTCGCTGGGAGAACAGTTGGGGGGGAAAAATATGTGTTTTGTATGGCACCACTCACAACAGGGAGAGAATCAAAAATCTCGCAGGAATGCCTGGCTGCAAAGATTGGCTTCAGAAGGCCAGTTTAAAAGGTGGGGGAGGCGCAGGAAAAGTTGCCCTCAACAAACAGAGATAAGACTGGGGTTATAACATGCCTCCCTTCACCCAGAGGAGATAAGGCAGGGGTTCCAAAAAGTCTTTATTCTGCATTTCCTGCTGGACCAGCCATAAGGAGGGAAATTTTGGAATTGCGCAGCTGAAAAAGGCAGCCTTGGAAATATGCTCTCAAAGTGACACACCGTCCCTGGATCCTGGCTTAATCGGCCTCCAACTCGGCTTGTTTGGGTTCGCTTTCAAGCTTCCAGGCCTTAAAATCCACGCCGGGGAGGTTTTAACAGAATAACAGAGTCAGAAGGGATCCTGGAGGTCTTCTAGTCCAACCCCCTGCTCAAACAGGAGACCCTACAGACCATTTCAATCAAACCAAATAGAGCTGGAAGGGACCTTGGAGGTCTTCTAGTCCAGCCCCTTGCTCAGGCAGGAGAGCCTATGCCATTTCAATCAATCAATCAACTAACCAATCAATCAATCAATCAAAATAGAGCTGGAAGGTACCTTGGAGGTCATCTAGTCCAGCCCCGTTCAAGCAGGAGACCCTACACCATTCCAGACAAACAGTTCTTCAATCTCGTTGTTCAGTTTTGCTGGGCCCTGCCATAGTTTGGCCTGCTCATCTTTGCATTTGGGGTAATCCAGGTTCGGGGTGCGAATGTGAGCAAGGTGTGTGTTGACATCTTCACAAGAGGCTGGTGCGCGGTGCAAGAGCCACACGCGAAGACATCCAAAGGGAGCATTTGGGCACATCAAACTGAGGTCGAGGATTCAGTGTGTTGTGGGAAGTCAGCTCAGGTTCCAGGGAAAG